TGTGAAACCTTCATACTAGCTACAGGCTCTAAATTTAAATTCAAGTTTAAGGGTCCTCCGGGAGATGCCATTAGTTCTTCAAAGAGGCTTTGTGTGTGTGCAGTTTCTTGTAGTTGCTGAGCTTCTGTATAATGAGCTATTTGCTTGTTTGCTGCACAAAGCTCTTTTTCTAGGTCTGTAATACGCTGTAGGGCCCTCTCAAAAGTGCCAAACTGTTGGTCATAAGTACTGATAGTACTATTCAGTTCATCCCGTTGTAAAACAACTTCTACATGCTGAGAGTGTAGTTGGGAAAGCTCATTTTTGAGCTGGGTATTCTTGTCAATGATTTTCTTGATTTCAGTTTCACTCTCATCACGTTCACGAAGGAGCTGACTGCAAGTTTCCTTTGTTAACTTCAATTCTTCCAGGGTTTGCCTTAATTTAAGGTCAGTGTTTTGAGCTGTAGCTTTGCGGGTCATCATTTTTGGTGTTTGTATGAAAATCTGAAATAATTAAAACTGTATAAGTTTCTTTTAATATGTTTTAGAGACAAAGGCAATTCTTTTAATATATAATATAATATGGACAACAAAATTCCTTTTTTATGAAGAGGGTAGATAACTATGGGAAAAGTTAATGCACTCAATATTAACTAATAGTATTCATTATATTAAATACTTTAAAAAGCAACTATGTACGCTTTCACAGCTCAAACAAAGTTGGTAGGCAGAACAGATTTAATTTAATACACTTATTTTAACTTTGTATCCAGTTTAATGTGACAGAAGTAAGTGATGTCAAATTTAAGTTAATTATTCAATCTTTGCCAAATCAAATATTGAATATTTGTTTATTATCATATATTTTGGTAAACAATTGATGAAATGTTCGTGATAGCTTATAGAATTAAATAGAATAAAAACAAAAAACAAAACTGTTCAACTTTGGATGTGATTGTCTTAGAGTTACATATTATAATACTTATTGAATTTTTTGTACTGTTTCCTATTTATGAAATAATGAAAACAATACTCCCCAGGTTTAAGCAATAGCCATTCCACAATATTTGGTGCTAATATTGCTTATCAGAGCCGTTATTTCTTCAACTATCCGTTGACAGTTTGATGAGAACTTGATGTGTTGTTTATTCAAAATCCTTGTATTGAAACTTCGTGATTTCAATTTCACATAAGTAACACAATATTATATCACTGTTTATTGTAACTTTAACACGAACAAACACAATTAAAATAATTAAATTAAAATTTAAATACGAGTCCGAGATCCGTAGAAGGACCGGTGTATACTACATAGCTCAAAGAGTTAGCACGCTGAAGTGGCAATGGGCAGGCCACATCGCTCGAGGATCTGACAACCGTTGGGTAAGAAATTTCCTCGAGTAGCGACCACGTACCGGACGACGCAGCTTGGGGTGGCCCCCAACAAGGTGGACTGACGACATCGTCAAATGTGCTGGGAGCCGCTGGATGCGGATAGCGCAGGACCGCGCATTGTGGCGTTCTATAGGGGAGGCCTATGTCCAGCAGTGGACGGAGAAAGGCTGATGAATGGATGGATGGATATTAATAAACAAGGAGTAACTCCACAGGTTCGAGTGGTCTAGAGACTTCAGATGGAGAGGAGACTCCCTTCCATCCGTCTGGAATACCTCTAGAGGCACTCGCCAATTCTTGGCTTGAGGTCCCCTTAGGATCTCGCCGTCCCCTAACCCGGTGACGCTGTAAAGGTCATCAATCTGCAACAAACAGCATAATAACTCAAAAAAAAAAACAAGGATTATGTTTGGACTCTTTACGCCGTGTTTAATTCATGTCACTCAAGTGCCATTTGTAATAAGAGGGAAAACAAAGATATTAACTAATTCTGGCTTATTTTTCGTTTATTAATAACAAGTTCAATTAGCAGAGTATGTATGTAAAGTCAGATGCATGCATATAATTTAGGACCCATTTCATCGAAGTGTGGTTTAAACATATGTATTGCAATAGGGTCGAAATCTACAGATGAAAATAGTCTTGAAACGTCATTTGTAAAACTTTTCGAATGTATTATAATTTCTGAATATTAACCTCCTTTACAAAGGTATAATTTTGTTTCTTTTTTATTATAAACATTCTGTCAGTGTCAAACAAGGAATTGATATTGACAATCTAAGAAAATCTAATCAATTCAGTATCTTTCCAGAAAATCCTTAAGGGTATTTGACAGTATTAAAAATAAAGTGCCAATTGCTAGCATCTGTGTTTAAAATGAATATTGACAGGGGTTTTTACTATTTTTACAAAAAAAATATTCATAATTCTACTAAAAACCTACGAAAAAAATAATAGTTTTCTTATCTATTGTCACGTGACCCAAAACGCTTGGGATTGGCGGAGCCTTAAATGACGTCACACACAAGTAAACTTCCGGTTAAAGTGACATTACATTGTATCGTTTGACGTTCTAATTACAGTCGTGTGACGTCACACACTAGTAAGACGCCATATTGTCCAGAAAAAACGGCAACTTGAAAATGGAGTTTTTGATTTGGTTATTTTTACTGAAATACGCAACAGAATGATGTATATATAACTTTTATATTTACGGACTCCAGAAACATTAGTCAATAACGTGAGATCGTTTTCTAAAACTTGTCAAATACCCTACTTTCACTAATAAAATTAAATTTCATTCCATAGAAAAATGATTGGTCTAGCTTCACTCGGAGACCAATCGTTCATCTATGCTTCATCCTTTATACTTTATATAAATTATTTTTTACTAACAATACCAATTAACATTCTCGGAAAGAACAGTGGGCAAGTTAAAAACAAGTTGATTTATCAGAAATTCTCGGATCCGGTAAGGTTGGCGTGGAAACTATAAATATTAAACAGTGCTTAAAATGGCTTAAGATGGGAGGCGCGCAATGTTTTTTCCGGGTTCGAATCCCGGTGGGGGCAGATGTTTGTGTGATGAATACGAGCATTTGTACTCCAGTCATGGATGTTTAATATGTATTGCTATATAAATATACTTATAAATGTACAGTATATGTATTCTATCCGTTACCCTAGTATCCCATAACACAAGCCTTAAAGTGCTTACTTTGGGGCTAGGCCAATTGGTATGAGTGTAGGAAATATTTATTATTGTTTATTTTATTTATACAAACGTTCTAGACTGATTCTTTTTTGATTTTTATCACTAAAGAGTTGATTTCGTACATAAAATATTAATTATTCTTTGATCTAAAGAAAATATAACTAGAAAATATTCCACGCGGACCAGGCAGCAGACGGTATTCGACCCGCACCCTTCGCAATCCGGGCGAATGCACTAACCAATTATGCTACCGCGGCCCTCGCGGACCGCGTCGAAATTCTTCTAGCTATTCTTAAGCTGCAAGGCAATTGGTCAGTGTATTCGCCCGGTTGCGAAAGGTGCGGGTTCGAGTCCCGTCTGCTGCCTGGTCCGCGTGGATTTTTTCTAGTTATATTCTCTAAATAAAAAAAAAATATATATAATTATTCTTTGCTTCTATGTTTTCCTTATTTCGATAACTTGTATTTCAAAGAAATTAGAAGCCCTGAAAAAAGCAAATTTTTATCACCACTTAAGATGTCTAGTGTGAAGTTTTAATAAGCATTTACAAAAAAGCAAAACATAGAGGCATAGCATAACTACTTATTATTCAATGGGTAGTTTTTTTACATTTATTGAACTTTCGCGGAGGAATTCGTCGAGAGCCAAACCTCAAATTTGGCAATTTTTATACGCAATATTCAGCTTTTACTACTGTTGTCCTTATCACACGGTATATAACTACATCAAAAAAAATGGGTGCGTGTACTTATGTAGGCGCGTGAGAAGTTATCCTTCTTTGGCATCGTTTAAAATTAGTTTTTAATTGCACGCAAATAATTAATTACAATAAATTAATAAAAAGTCTGGAAAAGGACACAGTCAATAAAGTTCAGCTTTAATTTGAAAAAATAAATAAATAATCAAAATATTCAATTAAAATCGCTACTGAATATAATTTATTAGAACATATGTGATTTGCACTTGTATGAAACTCAAACACGTATTCCGAATATACAAACTAGAAACATGTGGATAAATATTATAAATATGAATACCTATAACTGTTACTTTATTACAAAAAATAAAGATGTGGTTTTTGGTTCTACTACACCAATGGTCAAGATATGCCGCTGTAGTCTCCTGAATCGCGCTTTGGTTCCGTTGTTCCAGATTAATAAATACTTTTGATAGGCCTTCACAATGCAGTCGTTAGCACCCACTAAATAGAGATTCTATTTCTATTTTGTTGGTAGATTTTCTTAATGTGCGGTAAACACAAAAGTAATATCTAGACCGATCATCAATGACCTGATGATGTTTTTTTATAGTTTCATTCACAATGCAGCGGGGGTGGCGGTTGCGTGTATTAAAACTCAAAGGTGACTGACTGACATAGTGATCTATCAACGCACAGCCCAAACCACTGGACGGATCGGGCTGAAATTTGGCATGCAGGTAGATGTTATGACGTAGGCATCCGCTAAGAAAGGATTTTGATCAATTCTACCTCCAAAGGGATAAAATAGGGAATGAAAGTTTGTATGAAACTTTGTCAATTTTAAACCGATCGGTCTGAGACTTTGCATGCAGGTATAAGAAGAATCATAGATGAATGTCGTTGTGTATAATACAAGCCTGAGAACAAAAACTGTAGTCTACACTTCAGCTCTACACCGAAGCGAAGCGAGGGCGGGCCGCTAGTCTATATATATAAACATCAATTGCTGTTCGTTAGTCTCGCTAAAACTCGAGAACGGCTGAACGGATTTATCTTATCTTGGCCTCGAAATGTTCGAGGAGGTCTAGGCAAGGCTTAAAAGGTGAGAAAAAATCGAATTCTATACTACAGCTCTACACCGAAGCGAGGGCGGCCACTAGTCAAGGATAAATCCCAATATATTACGACACACTAAAATGAAACAAAAAGATTTATTTAAAGTGTTTAATAGTACAATACAATAGTATATATAATAAATACATTTACCCCTCCTAGTTTACCGACGAAATACCGAAGCTTATAGGTATTAAAAACAGGTACCTAAAAATCTACCGTAGTCGCGAAAGTGTCAGAACTCAAGAGATAAGTTTCACACGGATTCATGTTCTCGTACTCCTCAATAATACCATCTTCCAAATGTTGATTGATGTAGGAGGCACATCTCAAATCCTCCAAAACTTGAGCGAATGGTAGAACCAGCTTATGAACGACCACCGGCTGACAACTATATTTCTGAAGCTCTTCAGCTGCATCGCAATTCGAACTATTCGGTTGGAGGAATACAATCTTTGACCTAAGCGGAGAAACCTCGGGTTCGTATTGCAATACCTGCTTGATTCGGTGGTAAGGAAGTTCTAGATTCAACCGCGTGTACTGAGCTGACAGAGAAACGCGCCCGAGCAATTCTCGAACGCACAATTCGACGCGTTCCTTCCATTCGGTCGTTTCATTGAATTCCAGCGTCAGATCTTCTCCGCAGATCAGCTTGTACATATGTTTGAGACAGGCTGTTCGCAAAGATTCATCGTCTTGATAATTCTGGAGTTCTGTTTCTAGGAGTGTCCTGAATTGGCCCGGTGATGTGCCGATCAGGTAAATTGTACCTGACAGTCCTGTGAATGATGATAAACACTCTTATTATTATCTCAAACACTTTGACAAGGTTAACAGGCAAAGGAGATTGCTCAGCTTCCATACATGTTTGGCCTAAAGACCAATAATCATGAAAAATTGTTTCCAAGATTCGAAATTACATATAGATTACTGTAGAAACGAATATTATTGACGGACACCCCTGAGAACTTCTATAAACCATATACGCTGAACATATTAAAATAATGAAAAACAAATAAGTTATATAGTAAACTAGGGAAATCAAGCTAAGTACCGAAATTATGGATTAGATTCAGGTATATAGAGCATATAGACAATAGATAGTTGCCTGTTTTTAAAGTTAATGCTTAAGAGTAACTTTTAAAATCAGATGCCATTTCCGGTTATAATAAGGTACTCTGTGACAGAAACTAGGGATGTCGAAAGTAGAAAAAAATATCGATATATCGATACATCGATATTTTAAAAAATATCAATATCGGCTTCGATATATCGCGAAAAAAACATCGATATATATATATCGGACCAATTTTCCCAAAAATATATTTAGATCCGTCTAGCACAGTAATAATAACAATACAAATTATAATTAAAGAAAGAATTATCAAAGTACCAAATTACACTACATGACAGTACAGTATCTCACGAAAGATGACACGTGGAATAATAATGGAACGAAAATTATTTATCTAAAATAGACCCTATTTTCGAATGATGAAAATGATTGCAGGACCTCTCAGGTGCCATCTTTCGTAAACAAGACTAGACAGTCGCACATTTCTACAGAATATAATGGAATTCAGCACAACCAATTCACCAGCGAAACAGATTTACAAATCATAGACCGTACTAAATACAGCACAGATCATAGATAAGTTGAATATCTTTATCTATCTGAGATCCAGTTACGATTTTTCCAGATACGAATTAAGTTGGATCGTGATATGCCGCTAATATTTAAAAAAATATCGATTTTGATACGAATTTCGATATTGGTTATTTTGTATCGATGTATCGATATATCGAATCAAAATATATCGGCTAAAAATATCGATATATCGAACAAAAAATATCGATATATCGATACATCGATATATTTTCAACAAGCCTAACAGAAACTGTGCCACAGATTAGATAGAAGTTTTGAACTGTCGTTAACCTAAGAAAGCTAAGAGATTTAGGTTCTATAGCCATATATTCAGTTGCTTCATTATTTTTGTTATATTTTAAAGATAACCATATTTTAGATTTTTAGTGTATCACACCTTATAATTTTATTTATTTATTAATTTACATGTCAGGGAACGTAGGCCCATAGATAGATACCTTAAAGTCTAACATATATACAGATTATAATGTGTTTATGGAGGTGTTTGGCGAAAAATGTATGGCAATATACTTTATGATGTCGCCTACCATCTATAATAATTGTCTGAGCACATTTGCATCTAGTGAAAATGATAATATAGTTGTGAATATTAATACCACAGTGTAAAAAAATGGTTTATTTTATCGATCTTTACAAAATAGATTTGTTTTTATGTTATATAAACAACTTCGATCAATCTTTGGCTGAATGTTACTACACCCATAGCCATTAAAAATGATTCGTATGTTTTCCAAACCGGTAAAATTAAAAGTCCTTTTTAAAGTAAATATATTATACAAAGGTGTCCGTTGAAATCTAATGATTGTAAATTAAATTATAAATTACGCCAAGAATTACCGTGTATGTCAATATTTTTTGTGCATTTGGGCCAATTTGAACAATCTCCTTTCTTATTACTGGTGGAGGGAGCCCTTTGAACACTTCTGTAGCATTTGTCAATAAATTGTTAAAGTAAGTTTTCGATTAAAGTATTTTATTTTAATGTTTAAGCTTACATTAATGAAAAAAATGACTTTATTTTATTTTATTTAGGAACATAGAACAGTTATACACTAAATATTACATAAAATTATAATGTAGATATTAATAATAACCCACACCAATGTCCACAAATTAATGATGAAAGGAGAAGTTCTTCTCACTACGGAATAACAAACTAAAAAACCGCGATGAACCGGTACAGATACAAGTATGATACCAAATTTCATCAACCCATTCTATTTGATAATGTTTCTACTACCATTTTTTTAAACTTTAATTTTGAGAACCCAAATATGTCTAATTCTGCAAAGTTTGTGCTATAATTATCTAGTAGTCGCCGAAGGGGCGCACGCACTCCCGCATTCGTTCTACAGGTCCCAGTATAAAACAGCCGAGGCGCGCGCACCCCTCTGCAAACGACTTATTTTAAAGACAATTAACAACATGAAACAACAGCGTTACAACACAAAAAGATTAACTGGTAGACATGCGTGTGTCCATTAGCAGATACACGAAAAGTTTATTCTGTTTTCCAAAGATTAATTATGAAAATTTGTTTTTAAAACATATATTCTTTACTAAAATATTTACGCATAGAGGATTGTTGACGACCTCCGTGGCCGAGTGGTTTGTACACCGGGTTTCATGGTGTCGCCGACTCGAGAGATCTCCCGGGTTCGAATCCCGATGGGGGCAGATGTTTGTGTGATGAATACGAGCATTTGTACTCCAGTCATGGATGTTTAATATGTATTTCTATATAAATAAACTTATATGTGTACTGTATATGTATTCAATCCGTTACCCTAGTATCCCATAACACAAGACTTACAGTGCTTACTTTGGGGCTAGGCTAATTGCTGTGAGTGTTGGAAACATTTATATTTATTTTAAGAGTGTCCTAGTATATTGCAGGGGGATCTTAAAGTTTATTGTATATATTTTTATTTACCATGTTTTTCAAATATTGCTGCAGTTTCGAGTGCTACCATCACACCGCTTTCGTAACCCAACAAATAGAAACTGTCCTTTAATGCAATCATCTTCATAAGGGTCTGAAATAAATGAATAAAACAATATCAGTATTATGAGATTCAACTAAGAATAGGACCGACTGGGCGCCATATTTTGACGTCATATCTGTAAATTCAAACTAAATAGGTAGAGTGAGCAAAAAAAAGTTTGTATTTAATAAAACTTATTTACTAAGATTAAGTGAGAAAAGACATCAGATTTGCCTTGCAGCTTAAAGCTAGGAAAATTTCGACGCGGCTAATAGGGCCGTGGTAGCATAATGGTCAGTGCATTCGCCCGGATAGCGAAAGATGCGGGTTCGAGTCCCGTCCGCTGCCTGGTCCGCGTGGATTTTTTTTCTAGTAAACTTTTCTTTAGATTTAAACATCTAGCAGTTAAATGCTTTAAAAAAAAAATCATAACATCAGATTTTTTAATAAAATTTATTAACTATGTTGAGAAAAAAACAACCGATTTTTAATAATATTTCTTTATTAAGACCGTGTGAGAAAAAAAAATAGAATCTAGCTCTTTAATTCCGCTCATCTCTGCATTACCGCCGGAGTAGTAATGAGTAATCATGCAGGTCACATACGAACATGCATCCTTTAAGTGAACGAAAGTTTTAAATCGAGTTTCTGAACGCAACATAAAGTGACATTTGGTTGACGAATTAGGTTATCAAACATTCATAGCCAAAACTCAATAAATGAAAAAAATATCAACCAATATTAATTATCAATATTTGTTATTGTTTGTTTAAAAATGTTTGAATAAAAAAATCTAGAATTAGCCGAGTGCTAAAACAGTGTTCCGGGTTTTTTTTGCAAGCTGTACTTTTCAAGCGACATTTGACAGATGGAGGTCATTGGCTTTCCTATTCTTATTTGAATCGCATTATAGAGCATTTAACTCTGAAAATAAAGAAATATATGTTCTTATGTACCCGATACATCATTAAGATTGAGGAAAACAACCGGGTAAGGAACTCGATGGCGCAGGTTTGTTAACGCGTTTGGCTGCGAGCGTTAAACTTAAACAACTTTCGCAGTGGTCGGTCATTGGATGGGTGACCAAAAAAAAAATATCTCGAGTTCCTCCCTGCTTCGGAAGGCACGTCAAGCCGTTGGGCCCGGCTGCATCTGCAGTCGTTAGCAACCACCAATTCGCAACCACTAAAGCCCAATCTGTCTATTCCATCTATAGGGAATGCCTGTGCCCCAGCAGTGGGGACATTAATAGGCTGATGATGATGATGATGATGATGAACCAGGTATCAAACGTCCAATATTGTAATAGAGGATTATCTTTTCTTTAGATGATTGATGATGATTTGTTACAAAACCCTTTAATAATAGTGAACTGTGAAAACAGTAAAGAATTTTTTTATAGAAAAGAATCCAGGTGGACCAGGCAGAAGACGGGATTCGAACCCGCACCCTTGGCTATCTGGGCGAATGCTGACCATTATGCTAATGAGGCCCTGATGGCCGTGTAGATTTTTCTCTAGCCTTCCTTAGGCTGCAAGGTAGCGCCATCTCTTCGCACTGTAGGTAACCCACTATGTTAAATGAATACCTTTACATGTATATAACATTTGAGATAAAACTAGCAATTATAGTTATATTTTTTAAGCATTTAACTGAAGGAAAATTTAACTAGAAAAAAAACCCACGCGGACCAGGCAGCAGACGGGACTCGAACCCGCACCCTTCGGTATCCGGCCGAAAGCACTGACCATTATGCTACCCAATTATCTGTAGCCTTTCTTAGGCTGCAAGGCAGATCTCTTCGCATTGAAGGTAACCCACAATGTCAAATGAATACCAATTTTTTTTTTATATACTCAGGCAAAAAATACTGTTTACAGACGACGGAGTATTTAAGGCATTTAAGGCCCCAGCAGTGGCTACCCACTCAGGACCTCGTAAGACTTACGGGCGCTTTACGGCATAATATACGCTATAAAACCCTGCGAATATCCTCTGAGCTGTTTAGCGCGAAGTCGCGGGATCCCCGTTTAGGGATTCTTCCGCGTCTCCGCACCTAGCAGCCTCCCGGCCTAGCCGGGGCTCCACGGCAGGGGTCTCCCGGGGTATCGCGGGGACCCCGCAGACGTGCGCGGGATGGCCCGCGCGTGGGGGCTGAGTTCGCGGCCTAGTGCCCACCGTACACACAAACACACATACATAAGCGCACACACACCCACTCACACTTCATAAAGTTATCATGTGACAAACTCTTGAAAACCCTTTTATATGGATATTCAGTGTTTGTTTTTCTTCTTTTTGTTATGTTTTTGTCCAATCTTAATTTTATTTTATTGAATTATTATACTTCTTTAGGCGCGTTATGAAAAAATGATGAGAGTGAAATTTTTAGATGCGCGCGCATCACTGTAACCCAAAAGTAACAGCATGAAGTTGGCCGCGGGCGCGTTATGAAAAAATCATGTGAGTGAAATTTCGAGTTGCGCGCGCATCACTGTAACACAATAGTAACACCATGAAGTTGGCCGCGGGCGCGTTATGAATGTTAGTGTCTAATAATGGTGGATTATTAACCACTTAGTGGTTAATAATCCACCATTATTAGACATCTGTTCGAAAGGTACTTTGAACGATCCACGGAGCTCCATAAGATGATCGCGTTGTCAAAAACAATGTTGGCACGCTCGTCGCCTCTGATCACTGTTTTCATATTTATAATATTTATCCACATGTTTCTAGTTTCTATATAGACACAACGTGTTTTAGTTACTTACAAGTGCTAATTACATATGGACTAATAACTTAAATTCAGTAGTGATTTTAATTGAATATTTTGAATATTTATTTAATTTTTCAAATTAAAACTGAACTTAATTGACTGTGTTAACTATCCTTTTCTAGTCCTTTTATTATTTTATTGTAATTATTAATTATTAGCATGCAATTAAAAAATATTTTTAATGATGCTAAAGAAGTATAACTTCTCACGCGCATACATAAGTTACACGCATCCATTTTTTTTGATGTTAATGAATTATATGATTTTTATGCAATTTATTAAAATTAAATTAAATTAAATTAAATGTAATAATTACTGACATATAATAACGCCGTTAATATCTAATGTGTACGTGATGAGTTTCCGTAATTGGCCTTAAGATTATATCTATATTTTACTGTATTAAATTGCACAAAAACCGCTGTAGAAACTTTGTTAAAGATAAATAAATAAGAAGACTGATATTTTTTAGACACGCAGTAATTAGTAAAAATCTAAGCTGCCGTGTGCCAAAAAGAGCATTCTATGTTTTTCTTTCGTCTATTGAACTGTATAACTAAGTAGTTATGAAACGCCGTAATACAAAACCATAGCGCGATGAATATTGTTGAACAGCGCCATCTCTTGACGACTGCAGTAAACTACTACAACTTTGATCCATATACGAATAATAAATAGTTCTTTGGGCGCGACTGAAAACACCGCAATAATTCACTCTTTTTTTGTTTGTGGAAGCATATCTGCATCTTTCCGATTGCGAGTTAATTGGGGTATCAAAAAACTCTAAACATAAATAAATACCGGCATCATAAAGATAAAACTACAAAAAAATATTACAGATCTTTCACTTTGATGAATCAGAGAAACATTTGCATTCAGCAATACCTGTTTTTACGTTTTATAAATTAAACCCAATTTAGATGATCACTGTTTGATAATCGCTAGTATTTATCGCCAAAAAAACCGATATCGAATTCAAATAGTTTGCGAGTGCGAAATGTCAAATTTTGTACGAAAACTTCAACAGCAGCGCCATAACGTAACGAGAACTAAAAATCAGTACACATTAGACAATGACATTTCGTACTCGCAAACGATACGAATTTGATATTGGTTCGTGCTAAGGGTACTGAAAACTGTGCTAAAGAAGCCAATATCGCTGTCTTGTGTAATTTGTATCAATAACTACGAGTATAGTATCACAATCATGGTATTCAAAATAAACTCTCAATTCCTATAACGCGAACGTTCTCAATTCCTATTCCTATAACTCTACGCTCAATTTAATGTAAACCAAAACTGACAAAAAAAATCCAATAAGCAGCCCACATAATATACATCGTCTCTTGAGACCATCAGTCATAAACGTCAAGTTCCAATTTACGATTAAATTGACGGTATACGAGAATAGTATCTTCAAAATTCAAATGGGACCTTTTCGAAAATAAAAATACTGATTAAAACGAAAAATAATCATCCAAATCGTTCCTCCAACTCCACAGAAAATGTTACAACAACGTAAAAAAAATACGATGTCATTGAGAACTATGTTCTTTTTTTATATGACTGGACATCGATATTACCTGAGCGTATCTGGCAGCCATTTGCTTAATACTTTCGTTGGGCACGTCCAGGCCTGGTTGTAGGACTAAGGATGATATCTTGACGCGCTCACACACATCCCTGAACTGCTCATAATGACCTTCTATGCCAGGAATGATGCAAAGGTAAGATTTTGTAACATCGAAGTCATCATTTCTCTGTTAACACACAAAAAAATAAAATAAAATATAAATAAAATAAGCCTTTATTGCTGTTAAACTTTGAAACATTTTCTTAATTATAATTTTTATTATTTTTAAAGCATGTAACTGCTTGATGTTTAAATCTAAAGAAAATATAACTAGAAAAAATTCCACGCGGACCAGGCAGCAGACGGGACTCGAACCCGCACCCTTCGCAATCCGGGCGAATGCACTGATCAATTATGCTACCGCGGCCCTCACGGACCGCGTCGAAATTCTTTCTAGCTATTCTTAAGCTGCAAGGCAGCGCCATCTCTTCGCATTCGATTTAAACATCAAGCAGTTACATGCTTTAAAAATAATAAAAATTATAACTATAATTGCTATTTCTTCTTTCAAATGTTTAATACTTGTAAAAGTATTCATTTGACATTGTGGGTTTACCTATTAATGCGAAGAGATGGCGCTGCCTTGCAGCTTAAGAATAGCTAGAAAGAATTTCGACGCGGTCCGTGAGGGCCGCGGTAGCATAATTGGTCAGTGCATTCGCCCGGATTGCGAAGGGTGCGGGTTCGAGTCCCGTCTGCTGCCTGGTCCGCGTGGAATTTTTTCTAGTTATATTTTCTTTAGATTTAAACATTTTCTTAATCTAATTAACTGTATATATATATATTTGTTTCTATTCTAAATTATCAGCGTTCGGGTCATTATTGTCTGACACAGCTTGTCTTTCGACATAGGCCTCCTCTAAAGACTTCCGTTTTCCTCTATCTTTTGCAACTCTGATCCATTCTGAACCAGCCACCTTTTTTAAATCATCTTCCCATCTTTTCGTTTGCCCACCTTTATTTCTTTTACCGTCCCTTGGATACCACTCTGTTATTGTTCTGGTCCATTTCTCTAGCCTTTCCCTCAACATATGTCCAAAAACGCTATATCAAATAAAGACTGACTGAAAGCGGGAAACTTTAATGACTAGGATTTCTGAAAAATTTATTATTCACTAGCGGCTCGCCCTCGCTTCGCTTCGATGTAGAATTGAAGTGTAGACTACAGTTTTTGTTCTCAGGCTTGTATTAAACACAATGACATTAATCTATGATTCTTCTTATACCTGCATTCAAAGTCTCAGCCCGATCGGTTTATAATTGACAAAGTTTCATACAAACTTTCATTCCCTATTTTATCCCCTTGGGGGTAGAATTGATCAAAATCCTTTCTTAGTGGATGCCTACGTCATAACATCTACCTGTATGCCAAATTTCAGCCCGATTCGTCTAGTGGTTTGAGCTGTGCGTTGATAGATCACTATGTCAGTCAGTACCTTTGAGTTTTATATATATTTATAGATGGGGGACTAAAATACTGGATTATCATTCAGGGTCGTATTTAAGATAGGGCAGCGGTAATTACAGGTGAGCATTAGCAGGGGCGTTACGTGCTTCGCATCCAGCCACCTTGTTTTTAAGTAGGGCAATGGTATTTTAAAGTAGGGCATTGCCCCATAATGCATTTAATACAACGGATCGATCAGGCAGCACATATTCATAAATATAAGTATCATAATACGGTTACTACAGTTCTTACCATCATTGCGTCATTCGCCAGTGTTGGAAGCAACATGATTTGAGTAGTCGACGACAGTTCATCACTATCAAAATATGAGAAGAACATTTCCAAGCCTTTAGTTTCCTTCAGCTCTCTTCCTTTTAAAGTCTGTTCTACCTCTCTTATCCTAAATAAATATTGTGTTTTATTAATACATATTAATAGTAATCTCAGATTTATATATAAATAATGTAGCGAACACATGTATAATTTTATCATAGAAATTTGAAAAATCTTTCGATTTGATCTCTAATTTTGTTTTTAGCTTTGGCTATCATAGTTAATGGTAACATTGTTGATTAGTATTGCCATAAATAAATTTGACAGCAGTCTCTCATTTTCATTACATTCATTACATTAGTATGATAAGGATAAAAGTGTTTTCAAAATTTTTAACATATTCATATAGATGGAGATTATAGATACTGTATTAAAATAGCTGAAACATCCAAAACTGTTATTCCTAACATTCACATTGAAACAAATACAAACACAGAAACAGTGTGTGGTTTAAAGAGATAAACAAACTTACTTTTTAACACTCAGGTGTAAAATATCTTCTTCCGATAAAGACAGGTTATATTCTTCGCACAATAAAACATCAATAGCTGGTACTTTCTCAATGCTCACTCCAAGGTCCTCAAGCGTAACATCGTCTCCAATATTTTCTGACACGTTGTTATCTTAAACATTGAAAAATTTAAATGAACTTTTATGATTTCAATTATACGAACTCGAAGCTAGAGTAAATAAAGCAATAAAACAAATCAATTTAGCAATATCACGATTAAATTGATTGCATTTTGAAGCGAGATGACATTAGGAGCCGCAAAAAACTGGCGGGCATGTATGAAGAGCCATGAATACAAACGAAGTGAACGTGAAAAATCAATTGACTTGTTGGATATAACAATCGTGAGTAAAAACACAGTTATTATTAAAACATATAAAATATAGTGAAATTTAAATTCTGTCCAATTAATTTAATTTAAGAAAATGAAGCGAAAGTAAAAAAAAAACTGTACTAACCAGAAATTGTAGCAATCTTATGTAGTAAAGAGTTGTTGTTACATCTCTTAATTTGTGCCAATATAATGGTTTCCTTAGAACGTAACGCTTGTTCCAAAGCATCACAAGCCAGCCATGAAGAAATTGTATCTTTAGAACATCCACCTGTGGCTTCGTATATCTGTTGATTATCAAAAGATTATGTTAAATCTACCTTGTAATGCAGAACTTGTAATGTCATAGTATTATTATGCATATCAGCAGATGGCATTAACTTCATTTCGAAGAAAATCATTTGGCATTTACCCATCATCATCATCATCATCATCAGCCTATTAATGTCCCCACTGCTGGGGCATAGGCCTTCCCTATGGATGGAATAGGGAGATTGGGCCATGAAATTTACCCATTTAGCAGAAATTCAAACACATAATTTTGTAATCCAGAATCTGTTGGCATAAATTTAATATCCACAATACTTAAAAAGCAGAACCATCATATCGCAGAAAGTTGACAGTCGTCTTTTGGCATACAACAATTTAACGTTTCCTTGTTCATTTATATATTATCTATGGTGACTGGCGCTTCGCTCGCTGGGCTCGAGCTAAGATTAAGTCACAATACTAACCTAACTTAACCTAACCCATTAACCACAAATACCTATTATGCTTAGCGTTTGTAATTATGCATTATTAAATTTTGCCAAAGCGGCCTGATAAAATTCTGCTATCTTAAAAATATGCCATTGTGAATTAGGTAAATAAACATTCGACCAAACGTTAATATAAAAAAATGCCTTATTTATATTCGTTCAAATAAGTTTGTGTCAAGTGTATTGTGCCAAATGAATTTCGGAGCAACAAAAATGCCAGATAGAGGGAACCTGTAAAAGGAGTGCCCTAAGGATTAAGTTTTGCCTTATTTTATTCCGTTAAAAGATTCCTTTTTGTCGATCTGCTTTGATTAATTAAGGATACCATAACGACATGTTTAAATAAACATACTTTGTTACACATACCTTTTTTAGAGAAGGTAGGCTAACTTTAGTAGCAGGAAGATTCTTTACCGCTCTTGTGATACATGTTTTAGTACCAAAGTTTTTATCAGGAGTTACTACTGCGAAATACCTAAAATAAAAGTTGAATATGAGCCTGTTTCTGGCATGATTCTCTGAACCTATAAGTAAATTGACAATAGTATATTCTAATTATCCATCTAGATATCATCATCAGCCTATTAATGTCACCACTGCTTGGGGCACAGGCCTTCCCTATGGATGGAATAGGGAGATTGGGCCATGACCCACCACGCGGGCCCAGTACGGATTGGCGGGTGCTAACGACTGCAGATGCAGCCGGGACCAACGGCTTAACGTGCCTTCCGAAGCACGGAGGAACTCGAGGTAGAAGATTTTTGGCCACCCATCCAATGACCGACCACTGCGAAAGTTGCTTAACTTCAACGATCTAGATATAAGGAATGAAAATGAATAAACTTCCGGCTTGTCTTAAAAAAGTGTCGTGTATAAGAGTACTTGAAAAAATGTGTCGATGGAAGAAGATTCATCACTGGAAAAGGAGACACCAATGCTTTAGTGGTCCCGTGACCACAACCGGCGTGACCTAGTCGAAACATAGGGATAAAGAAGGTACAAATACCTTTATCTATGTACTAGGTACTAACTAAAATGTTTAACTCCGTAAAATAATGAGAAGTGTCTGTCTACAAATTTAGTTTTATGTTTAAGACCACTTTGCCAGAACCAGAGCCAATAAAAGCAGAAACATCACGTAAAAGCAAAGTTATCATTGCTTTCAAAACTTTACTATTCATACGTGTATATTATTTTCGCTTCAACTACAAAACTATTCCAGAAGTTACTTTATACATAGAAATATTTACGTATTGAAACGGTTAAAATGGAAGGATTTTTGGAATTAATAAATTAAGGTTTATTCTAACCTTCAAATCAATAAATCAACCGCTAACCATCAGTCGGTTCATAATAATGTTTGTTTTTAATAAATATTTTAATACAATTTTAACAAAAAATCTAACGCATAACATTTATGAGCAAACTGAAGGAAAATTTGTCATTTCTGAATCCAAATTATCATTGTTTTTGCTCTCATTATTATGGGAATAATGAAATTCAGTAATTTTTAGGCGCCATTTGAAATGGTATTATAATACACGTAGGTAATTTTTTTTCTTGTAAATTTGCAAAAGACGCTTAAGAAACATCTCCTAGGTACCCAAGGTGACATTTAATAAGCGAATGCAAAGTTTTAGGGTATGCATATAATTAGTAACTTACCTTAACGATGGGCAAACTTTTCTAGAAATTTCATCCAGATAATTCAACACTTCTTGATCAGTACTAGAATGGGGTCTCGTTTTGATGAAGTAAATTCCCTCCACAACGCCCATGTTGTTTCCATTCATCAGGACATCATAAACATCATTTTTATCTTTAAGTTCAGAAGTTGATATTTTAGCATCCACTCCGACATTTTTCCATGATCTGAAAATATCGACAGGTTCAATAAAGTTAAAATTCAACCAGAAGTTTATTTAAGGTCATTTTCAATAATCGATCTAAAGTTAAAGATAGGTCTTCTACAGCACTTGCCTAGACAGATACTTGTTTTTTTTATATATAGATAGGTCCGACAAATGACACCACCCCATCATCATCATCATCAGGCTATTAATGTCCTCACTGCTGGGGCACAGGCTTTCCCTATGGATGGAATAGGGTGATTGGGCCATGACTCACCACGCAGGCCCACTGCGGATTGGTGGGTGCTAACGACTGCAGATTCAGCCGGGACCAACGGCTTAACGTGCCTTCCGAAACACGGAGGAGCTCGAGATAGTAAATTTTTGGTCACCCATCCAATGACCGACCACTGCGTAAGTTGCTTAACTTCAACGATCGCAGCCGAACGCGCTAACCACTTGCGCCATCGAGCTCCTCCCCACCCCACCTGATGTTAAGTATAGGTGAAGCCTAGACGCGAAGTTAGCTGATACAGCAGTTCTACTTGCCACACCAGCCATACTCACCCTGCCGGCCTGCATGTTGCTTCTTCACTATTAAGAATCCATATTCTTATGATTAAGAACTGTAGCTAAGTAGTAATAGGACAAGGATGTAGAAAACCGAGCAAGGCCCAGACTCACCTAATACGATCAAATTGATCTCAGCTTATATGTATGAAAAAAGTAATGAATGTGAATGAAACATCGTGTCTTATGGCTCTCCCGCTCCTCTTATAGCTCTACTTTCAAAACACGTACGACATCCTATTCTATAAAACAGTTGCTAAAAATGAAACCAGTACAACCTTATCATTTGCTAGAGATTGATCTTGAAAGTAGTCGTTAACTGAGTAAGGCTTACCCTTTCTTATACAGTACTTGAGCTGATGATGTCGGCAACTGAAGAAACAGTTTAGTGGCACCTCGTTTCACCAATTTATCAGCTACTTCGGTGCCGAAAGACTGGTCGTCACAAATCAAAAGATGTGTCCGTTTCTGACTGCATATAATCCTGTAACAAATTTATGTTGGAACAGTAAATATCAAATAAGCATTCAAATCACAATGTATTCTTTTTGTAAAATATATGGCACGGTGTAACCAAATCCGTAACAAACCTAAGTGATTGTATAAATGGTTTGAGTTATATCGTCATCAGCTCAATAATGTCCCTAGTACTGTGCAACAGGAAACAAGATTTAATTGTAGACACACGTACCCCTGACGTATGCCCTCACTCACTAGGCACTGCAGCTTGTATGAGAGGATTGTACCTGGGCTGGGGTACGTAATTTAATCCGACTACCTAGACAAGCCCTGAAACAAATCGTGGGTATACTCACGGGTCACGGCTACTTCAACAAACACCTTTATAATATAGGTATTTCGGACAGCCCTCTGTGCAGAGCCTGCTTGGAGGAAGAGGAGACGAGCGCCCATGTTCTGCTGGAGTGCAGAGGCGTTGCAAGACAAAGGACTTCTCTAATGGGAAGCCCGCGGACACTAGTAGAAGCCTGCAGCAACATCCGGGGACTGCTGAGCTTTTTGGAGGAGCTGGGATGGCAGGACTGATGCCAATCCCCACGCACAATAGGCACTGTGTGTCGAGTTGCGGAAACAGCCCGCCGTTCTACTAAGACTAAGACTAAGACCTGGGCTGGGGTCGTGGCAGGTGCTGCAGCGAGAGCAGCACACGGCCGCGGTGCTGGCTGGCGCGCAGCAGGCGGAAGGCGCGCGGCGCGTCGAGCGGCGCGTACGTCACGCGCGACAGCGGCCGCACGTACCCCTGACGTATGCCCTCACTCACTAGGCACTGCAGCTTCTGTTAAGCGAATGAAACCATTATATATTACCGCATCAATTATATATTACGCAGTGCACGGTGGTGTAGGGAAAGGAGTCCGATTTTGGGATGCGAGTCTCTTTTGTACCGCAAGAATCTATAGGTCACTTATCATAAGGGAAACCGTACTCGATTAACAGTATTCTTTCATAAAAAACTGGCCAAGTGCGAGTCGGACTCGCGCACCGAGGGTTCCGTACAAAACTGTGCGTGTATAATAATGTTATAAAAAAGGTATTATAGATCTGAGTATTTCATATGAATTTCAATTTAATATAGAGGTATTAAATTGAATTTCATATCAAATACTCAGATCTATAATACCTTTTTTCACGCATTCATGAGAAAAGGTAGTAACTTTAAAATTTAAAGAAAACATAACTAGAAAAAATTCCACGCGCACCCTCCGCAATCCGGGCGAATGCACTGACCAGTTATGCTACCGCGACCCTGACGCCCGCATCGTAATTCTTCTAGCCATTCTTAAGCTGCAAGGCAAATCCATCGCCATCTCTTCGCATTGTAGGTAACTCACAATGTCAAATGAATACTTTTACAAGTATTAAACATTTGAAAAAAGAAATAGCTATTACAGTTATATTTTTTTTAAACATGTAACTGCTTGATGTTTAAATCAAATGGAATTAATATATTTTATTAAGATTTAAACATCAAACAGTTACATGCTTAAAAACATAAAATTATAACTTTAAATTTTTCAAAATTTTTTTTTATTATATGATAATATAACGAAAAATTTACAGTTATCACAATTTTTCCTTTATCTGTACTATAAGACGTTACTTTGTACCAAATTTCAAGATCCTAATTTCACGGAAGTACCCTGTAGGTTTTGATTCCTGTACGAGTTTCGAAAATTAGCGTCATAAACGGCTGTATCTTTTGATTAAAATTAGCGTCATAAACGGCTGTATCTTTTGATTAAAATTAGCGTCATAAACGGCTGTATCTTTTGATTAAAATTAGCGTCATAAACGGCTGTATCTTTTGATTAAAATTAGCGTCATAAACGGCTGTATCTTTTGATTAAAATTAGCGTCATAAACGGCTGTATCTTTTGATTAAAATTAGCGTCATAAACGGCTGTATCTTTTGATTAAAATTAGCGTCATAAACGGCTGTATCTTTTGATTAAAATTAGCGTCATAAACGGCTGTATCTTTTGATTAAAATTAGCGTAATAAACGGCTGTATCTTTTAAATTGTTTTGTTTTTTGCTTAGAAGTTTGATTTTTTCGCAGCTCCTTTCTTATCCAATACATCTTTTATGTACATAAAGGTTTCCTGCTCTTCAACAGGAAAGAAAACAAAAATATTTATGTTATATAAATAAAATCTTAAGCGAATGCAGTCAAAGTTTCAAGCGAAAGCTAGTAATTTCAATGAGTATTCGTATTATGATAATGGCGCTTGCAACAGTGCCGAAATATCGGAAACTCGCTAAAAACAAGGTATATGGTAACAATCCCGTAAATAAATTATCTATTAGACAAGTCCGTCCGTCTGTCTGTGGTGCTGTTTCAGCGGCCAAACCGTAAGAGATAGATAAAGAGAATATTTAAGTTATAAGTTAAGAATAGTCTGATAAGACTACAAACCGGATTTGAGTAACGTAGCACTTCCGGTTTTCGAGAAATCACGAATTTCAAACGAAATAACACAAAATCTCCGAAGTTCCCCATTAATTAAAAACATTTTTTTTTAAATCAGGCTTTGGTGAACATTTGGTTCACTGGTTTGCTAGTATTACTATAATGAGTAGGTATTCGAAGTTAGAGAAATTGACTGGTCAAAACTTATCACAAAAGAAACTGTAAAAGTGGTACTCGAAAGAGCGCAAGACCGTCGACTCCCGTGATCAATACCTGTCGGCAGCTGAGGCCAGAACTTACTTCATTACTTACTCATTGTCAGTTTTAATTACAGCAGCTGATACTCTGAGAGAGGAAATCCTATTTATTCTATTTACTAACGGGTGCTGCCAGCGGAGATGAGTCTGTACGAACTTCGTTGCTATTGAAAACGTTTATGTTTAGTTACACTTGATATAAACAACACTATTTGTAAAGAAAAGTTTTACTAGAAAAAAATCCACGCGGACCAGGCAGCGGACGGGACACGAACCCGCATCCTTCGCTATCCGGGCGAATGCACTGACCATTATGCTACCGCGGCCCTATTAGCCGCGTCGAAATTTTCCTAGCCTTAAGCTGCAAGGCAGCGCCATCTCTTCGCATTGTAGGTAACCCACAATGTCAAATGAATACTTTTTCAAGTATTAAACATTTGAAAGAAGAAATAGCAATTATAGTTATGATTTTTTGTAAGCATTTAACTGCTAGATGTTTAAATCTAAAGAAAAGTTTTACTAGAAAAAAAAAATCCACGCGGTCCCGTCCGCTGTCAGTTCCGCGTGGATTTTTTTCTAGTAAAACTTTTCTTTAGATTTAAACATCTAGCAGTTAAATGCTTACAAAAATAAATAAAATCATAACACTATTTGTATTTACTGTGTGACACAGCAATCAAAATGCAGGTACACAATTATTGTATATTTATTCATTACTAGAGGTCGCCCGCGACTTTGTCTGCGTTAACTTAGTTTCTTGAAAATCCCTCTTGAACCTAACATTTTTTCGGGATAAAAGTAGCCTATGTGTGAATCTAGGGTGTCAGCTAACTCCATACCAAATTTTATTAAAATCGCTCCAGCCGTTTAGACGTGAAAAAGTAACAAACATACACACTCACACACTCACAAAATTTCGCCTTTAAAATATTAGTGTGATGTAATTAAAGGTGACTTCATGAATCATCTCTGAAGTCATTTTTCAACTTACGTTAATATATTTTTGTTATCATTCAAATAATTATTTGTTAGGTCAAGAAATATACTGTCAGACCTAGCTGTGGGCACTATTTGAGATCTGTGCACATAATTTATTCCGTATTTTTGAATCGCTCGAGTGCAACGAATGGGTGAGACGACTCGTTGCATGGCGAATGGTGGAGGCGAATGATAGAATAATTGTCAATTTTTTGTGCTATTAGATGACGATAATCTATCCTTGTCATGCTTTATATAAACGACAAGGGCAGACTCATGTCAAGTTTCTTCTTCTTTTAATAAGGAATGACGGCTAATGCATGTCAATTTTACAAACGATAACACTAATAGCTAAGTTAATTGCCAGCATAATAAACGACAAAATACAATTGTATTATAAAGTCATGTACTGAGAATTTTTCGTTCGGTTTTCATTGCGGTAATTACCAGTTTTTTGTGCGTGAAATGAGTAAAATTTTATATTTCGTATTAAACTAGTAACACCGGTGACGAACGATTCAAAAATACGGAAAATCAGTATCATGCGACTTGAAAGTCGAAGGTGACTTATGTCGCATTCGACGATACTAAGTCAAACGAGTGATTCAAAAATAGAGCTCCTGGTGCGAATTCAGGTGGGGCAAATGTTAGTATTATGAATGCGAGCAATTGGACCTAAGTCATATATGTTTATATTATACATCTTTATTGCACACAAAAATTGTAAGATACAAAACATAAATATGTGAGCAAAGGAGGGCTTATCTCTAAGAGAGATCTCTTCCAGCCAACCAAGGTTTAGTGAGAGAAAAAAGTAAGCGGGTGTAGACATATGCACTAAGTACTTACTTGCAGATTATATAACTATCTAAGACTACATACATAAATATATATTCATATGTATATACACAAATACTTACAATAAATACATACATACACACATACAGACAAACATATATATATATATATATATATATATATACTAGTCAAAACAAAATAAGGGCCACCATGTTTTTTCCGCTTGCTAATAAATGTATTGGGTTTAAGGGTAGATAAATAATTAAATTGAATTATTTAGCCTACTTTTAATGCAAAAACCTTGAAATTTAATTTATTGATAAGAAAATAACAATATGTTGGGTTTTTTTTGTAATAAATGCAATTTCAGCAAAAAAATACATTTAGGAAAACAAAGGGTTAAAACAAACATGTTGAAAGATTTTTATCTTTTTTGCTTTGCTTTAGTATTGTGTGTGTGTCCCTCTTTTTCGAACACATTCTTGAAGCCTGGATGACACACTTTCCACTAACTGTCGCACTGTCTCTTGTGAAATTTGTTCCCAGCTTGACTTAAGCACGTTAATAAGCTGTCGTTCATTATGTACGGGTTGATTTGTGTCCCGGACATTTCTTTTTAACAAATCCCACATGTGTTCGATGGGGTTCAGGTCCGGATTGTAGGCAGGCCACGGCAAGACACGTATACCGGCTTCGTGAAGAGCTTCCTTAGTAGCTCTAGCTGTATGACTGCCGGCATTATCGTGCATTAAGGTGAATGTTGCACCAATTCTTTGTGCAAATGGCACCACATGAGGTCTTATTATCTCCTCAATGTATCGCGCAGCTGTTACCGTGCCTCCGTTGAGTATTGCGAGTTCGGTTCGACCTGAAAAGAGATTCCTTCCTATACCATGACATTGGGACCCCCAAATCTGTCACTTTCATGGATACAAGCATCCGAAAATCACTCCCCTTCACATCTCCATACTCGAATGCGACGATTTTCACTAAAAAATTCACTTGACACTCGTCAGTGAAGAATACTGTGCTCCATTTACTAATGCCCCATTGAAGGTGCAACCTTGCGAAAGACAATCGGTTTGCACGGTGTACATTAGTCTATGGAACCCGCACTACGCGTCTTCTGGAAAGCTACTGGTCCTCATGTAACCGATTTCTAAGAGTTTGGTCACTCGCGCGGGTACCGGTCGCCTGGCGCAAGGGATTTTGTAAGGTGCGGGCGGTGACGATTCGCTCTCTTCGCACAGTCAAACGTATGTAGCGGTCTTCCTGTGAGGTTGTTGCTCGATTTCTGCCAGAACCCCGTCTTCTCTTTACACTCCCAGTCTGTTGAAATCGATTTCAAGCATTCTGGATTACTCTCCTTGAAAATCCCATTTCTAAAGCTACAGATCGCTGCGAATGTCCCTCTTGGATCAATGTGATGGCTCTAGTTGCGGTTTGCATGTCCATATGTCTACAAATCCTCGGCAAAGTGCTTTTAAAATGATTATCCACGTTCTAACTCAGCAAATGTAAGACTGTTTATAAAGAAATCCACAGTTTAAATGTCTTAAGAATTCGTCTTAGAATAGAGTAAATTCAAGTGGTTACAAAAAAAAGGTACCAAAGCACCCACTTAAAAAAATATGCAAATGGTAACCTCACATTATGATTGTCAACACTTCAGGAAATACCACACAAAAATATGACGTTTAACATTGCTTTAAAATAAAGAAATCAGTCCAAATGTTTAAATTTACCTATGGCCCTTATTTTGTTTTGACTAGTATATATACACTATGAAATAATAAATACACGTTAAAATAAAACAAAGAGTGGAATAAATAGACAACTAAGAGTGTGAATTTATTTCCAGAAAGTGCTCTTTGACCTTTGCTTTAAAAGAGACAAAAGAAGGACAGTCTTGAATAGTAGAGGGAAGTCTGTTCCAGAGTAAAGCGGCACGAACAGAAAAGGGATGGAAAAAGAAGTTGGTATTACTTTTTGGTAGTTCAGGTGTCTTCGTGTTGCAAGACCTTTTAGGACGAGAAGGGGGAGGAAGCGTTTTGAAACGAGAAACAAGGAAATGAGGAGAACTAGGATCTTTGAGGATTTTAAACAAGAATGATAGGATATGCATATCACGTCGAAGACGAATGGGAAGCCATTTCAATTGAGAGCGAAAAGCAGAAACTCGGTCATATTTACACAATCCGAATATGAAACGAATTGCAAAATTTTGGTGACGCTCTAGCTTATTAAATTGATCTTCAGTTACATCAAAGTAGCAAATACCGGCGTAGTCGAGAATGGGGAGAAGGAGGGTGTGAAATGAGTAGTGAATACGTTTACTGACTTCACTAATATGTGGGGACCATGACATTGTGCTATCCATAATTAAGCTCAGATTTTTTACTTTATCGGTGTAAGGTATAGCAACCAAAAAAATAATGTAAGATGGTCTTGTGTTCTCTCCGATGAGTATAGACTGGAGTGCGGTGTGAGACAGGGAGGATTAAGCTCGCCAACGTTGTTCAATTTGTACATGAACAAGCTGCTTGATGAACTTGGCAGTACAGGTATCGGTTGTCACGTAGACGGCGTATGTATTAATAATATCAACTACGCAGATGATATGGTACTGTTGAGTCCATCAGCCGGCGCGTTGAAGCGATTAATAAGTGTTTGCCAGTCATATGTAACAGCACAGGGGCTCAAGTACAACGCAAGTAAAAGTGAAATCATGATATTCAAGCCCGATCGCATTCGTTACACTAATATTCCGCAAATAACACTCTGTGGCTTTCCGTTGAAAAAAGTTGAACGCTTTAAGTACTTGGGTCACTGGATAACAGAATTTAATTATTAAGATTAAGATTTAAATGACAATTGTGATATTGAGAGGGAACGGAGGTCTCTGTCTGTCCGCTGTAATATGTTAGCTCGCAGATTCGTAAAATGTACCAAGCCGGTTAAAATAGCACTCTTTAAAGCATTCTGCCAATCTTTTTATACATGCGGTCTGTGGGTGAAGTATACGCAGGATGTATATAGCGGCCTTCGAATACAATACAACAACGCGTTCAGGGTGTTGATGGGGCTGCCGCGTCACTGCAGTGCTTCCGGCATGTTTGCCGAGGCCCATACAGATGGTTTCGCGGCCATCATGCGTAAGCGCTGCGCCTCGCTACTTGGGCGGGTGCGCGGCAGCCCCAACACCATCCTGAGAGCGCTGGTGGAACGGTGGGACTCTCCGATGCTAGCTCGCTGGATACGACTGCATGCAGTCATATAGGCGGGGGCATCGTAGGGTGACATCAAACCACCTGTGTTTATTTACTAACATTAGTTTTTAAGTATAATCTATTTGTTACTAACCCACTATGGATCCTTGTTATCCGAAAATAAATGATTATTATTATATAGGCACGTCGTTATATTTAATGGGAGGTATCAAGTTCCAGTCTAATTTGTATCTAATCCTATATATTTCTTTAAAACAAATACTCATATAATTATGTATTCTATCCGTTACTCTAGTATCCCATAACACAAGCCTTACAGTGCTTACTTTGGGGCTAGGCTAATCGGTATGAGTGTTAGAAATATAATTATTATTGTTCAAAAACTTACCAGCGTTATTTCACTCTTCTCTCTGACAATCGTTGAGAAGTCTATCCAATAGCAGTGTTTGCAAAATGATAAATGTTGCATCTTGAACGAGTATTTGTCATCGTTTTGTATCTGTGTGGTGTCGAATGCGCTGCCATTTTCAGCGGTGATGCGTAAGGATATCTGGAACATAATGAGACTATTAATGTCCCCATTGCTGGGGCACAGGCATTTCCTATGGATGGAATAATGAGACTGGGAAATAATATATTAAGATTGAGATTCCTCGGAGCAGTCGTTAATGTGTATTTACACATAGTACCATTTTATCACCTCGCCATCCGTCAGCGGAGTCAAGTTCACCCATATTACCTCGAAACAGTGAAGTCCACAACTGTTTGTTTCCAGAGATCTGATCTTTTATTCAGGACTATAACATGGTCCTCTTCAACAAAGACTTTAATAAAGTGTTCCACGAAAGGCAAAGGCATGGCTGTGTTATAGGCATTACTAATCTAATATATATATATATATATATATATATACACTCTGCATCATATCGCTTGCCTGACGCTTACAACAAACTGAGTGAGAGTGTTGATATCTTATATGACTCTTTTCTGCGGTTTAGGACTAAAGTTTCTGAGTTATTAAGAGATGCGTAGACAAATTTTATTTTTATATTTGTCGTCAAATTTGTTTTGTCGAATAATTATATATATTCGTTTTCTATTGTCTATAGTTTCAAAGCCACTAATAGTTCATAAATTTCATTATTTACATGTGGTTTCAGTTTGTCTTACTGTTTGTTTATTAAATTAAAATTCGGTCCGTTCGTACTGTCTCTTAAGCTTGGTGTGGCTACCTTCAATAGAATTTTGCATTTTGTATGTATCATTAAAATGATTACAAAATAAGATTTAATGTAACTTTCTCTGTAGGTCCTAATAAATAAATAATGTCCATGGGCGACGGTGACCACTTAACATCAGGTGGCCCATCCGCACGTCTGCCGTGGAAGCAATAAAAAAAAAGGATTTTTTAGGAATATTTACATTAATCTCAGGAAATATTTTACTCAAAAGAATATTGCACAGTTTTGATTAGGATAATAACTTTGGTTAGAACCACAACCAATGCTTACAAATAAACAATTTTAAAATGTGAATAGATAAATTATTGTAATGAAGAATGTTTAATAAACTTCACATAACACTCACATCTTTCAGATCTCCCTTTATGCAATTAATTACGTATAGGACTCCTTTTCCTTTCGTGTGGATTTGCACCATATCTCCAAAAGTAGCATCTCTCGAATTTCCAATATAATCCTCTGGAATATATTTGTAAGTATCAGAACATTTTTATAGCATTGGTAGACGATAAAATGATTCCTGTTTTGCATATTTTTTTTGTGATCTCAAATTCTGATGCTCTGTATTCATAACGACAAGCTAATGTAAGTTACTGTTTTAAGGCCCTAAACTTGCATGAAATTGGCTATATCTCGATTCCACTAAAACTAGATTCATCTCATAGAAAATGTCAAAGCGTCAATGTCAATTTGATATTCTTGTATGGGCTAAGGCCTAAGGCGCAGTAGCAAAGAAGGATGACCTTTATGACCTGTTAAATCTATAAAAAAAATGGTATTAGTTATGTATAGTACTGAGACATACCTAAAAAAGCCTTTGTGTTGCAGCAACTTTGCTAAATCTCAATTTATCTAAAACTTTAATTTAGTCCATACAAAAATGTTTAATTGACATTGACGTTTTGAGATTTTGCTAAGGATTTTAGTCGAATCGAGTAAGCAAATTTGCTGCAAGTCGACCTTAGAGAATTAAAAAGGCTTTGGTCCTTTAGTAGTTTTGGATACCTTTCAGTTCTGGGAATAGTTTTTTGAGAAAGTGCTTCTTCCTTATGTCACTGACAGTAGCGAACACTTGCAGTCCTTGGGCCAACGCTATGGATATAACGGCCTGGCCCAGGGCGCCGGCACCTCCATGCACTAGGATACTCTGGTTGCGTTGCATGGGCACTTTGATGGCCTTTAAAAAGAGTATCGTCCTATAGTCATTTATGTAATAATTGGATTGTTACCAGGTAGCGCCATAATCACAGAGTAGTGACTAAGCTACTCCGTGATCATGGCGCTTGCAAAATCAAGGTACACAGTAGCAATCCCGTTAATAATATAATTTTTTATAATGTTAATGACCAAGAGTATTGTTCTGCTGTAGAACTTAATAAGAACTAAGGCGAAGTACATATTTACATGTCTATGAAACTTCTTACAGAAATTTTACCGAATGTAGTCAAAGTGCGTATGAAATAGCTCGACATTATGGCATTTAATTTTTTTGTGAAATACTTCTCAAATTTAAAGAAATAGAAGTCATGGTACTTTGTTTAGAGGTAATTTATATTAACATGCATTAGAGAAGGAGTTCATAAGAAACCAAACATAGCGAAATTCCAGGAAATATCTACTAATATATTGAGAAGACATAAGCCTAAATGATATTTTAATGTACGTGGAGCTCGATGGCGCAGGTGTTAAGCGCGTTCGACTGCGATGGTTGAAGTTAAGCAACTTTCGCAGTGGTCGGTCAATGGATGGGTAACCAAAAACTTCTATCTCGAGTTCCTCCGTGCTTCGGAAGGCACGTTAAGCCGTTGGTCCCGGCTGCATCTGCAGTCGTTAGCACCCGCCAATCCGCACTGGGCTCGCGTGGTGAGTCATGGCCCAATTCCATCCATAGGGAAAGCCGGTGCCCCAGCAGTGGGGACATTAATAGGCTGATGATGATGATGATGAGTGTACTAGTTAGTTTTCTTTAAGTCAGGAAATCAAACGGAAAGTAAGTAAAATACAGTTTTAAATAAACTTTTAATATACTGAGAAGATTTTTTTTTTTTTTTTAATGTTTAGGGACTTTTGGACCTAAATGTCCATACCAGCCCCATCGTAACCTGACCATACAATTTTCTTAAAATTATAACTTAACTATTACATAAAATTTTTGCTGCCAGTTAATCATATTCAAATATACTTGAATGATTTGATTGAATTAGGATATTAAAAAAAAAATAGTAAAAGTAATCTCGTAACTACTTCTTCTCTTGTTTATTTCCCCGTATTCGACCTTCTTGGCCACCACTAACTTCAAAATGTTCGTTTATGGTTGAATTTTGCCGTCAAGGCTGTCAAAAATGACTTTATTTGTCAGCCAATAGAAACTTCGTACAAAAAAGATTTTTTTTTTATTGTAATTTCATTCGCCACTATTCAAAACGTTTGAAAATAATTAGTTTTGAACCCAAAACGGGTTTTATATTTATTCCATCTCTTATCTATTAGTATTAGACAAGTCCGTCCATCCGTCCGTCTGTCTGTGGTGCTGTTTCAGCGGCCAAACCGTAAGAGATAGATAAAGAGAATATTTAAGTTATAAGTTAGGAATAGTCTGATAAGACTACAAACCGGATTTGAGTAACGTAGCACTTCCGGTTTTCGAGAAATCACGAATTTCAAACGAAACCACACAAAATCTCCGAAGTTCTCAATTAATTAAATACATTTTTTTTTAATAAGGTTTTGGTGAACATTTGGTTCACTGGTTTGCTAGTAAAATATAATATGAAACTTATTGTTGGTGAGTCATTTACGTGGTCATTTGAACCACCTCTATCGACGGCTACTGTCGCAGTTATAAAAGAAGAAAGTGGGTCAGTTTCTTAATCGTTAGTAAAGTTTTAAGTAAGCAAATCGGCTTAATAAAAAAAAGGGACGTTGTCAAATTTTTGAAAAAGCATTTAAAAGCAATCAAAATTACTCATGTAAATTTTTTAACTGAGCAGATAAGTTCTAAGTATCTTATTGAGAACTTTACTCAGCGATTGTGAAACATGCCTAGAGTTTATCTACTTCATCATAATCATCATCATCAGGCTATTAATGTCCCCACTGTTGGGGCACAGGACTTGCTTATGGATGAAATAGGGAGATTGGGCCATGACCCATCACGCGGTTCAGTGCGAATTGGCGGGTGCTAACTACTGCAGATGCAGCCGGGACCAACGGCTTAACATGCCTTCCGAAGCAGGGAGGAACTCGAGATAGAAGATTTTTGGTTACCCATCCAATGACCGACCACTTCGAAAGTTGCTTAACTTCAACGCTCGCAGCCGAACGCGCTAGCCGCCCGCGCCATAGAGCTTGTCCTTACGAGACAGCAAAATGCGTATCTACTTACGAGACAGTAGAATGCGAGAGCGTACGCCGCAGGGACCGTGGCCGCATCCTCCAGCGTCCAGTGTTTCGGCACCGGCCACAGAAGCTCCGGCCGCGCCATCACGAGGGTGCTCGCTGCACCAGACTCCACCAGACCCATCACGCGGGCGCCGCTGCCCCAAAATTATAAGTAATTATTAAAGGCACTAATAAGGTTATCAGTGACTCATGCTTATCCCATACCTACACGACGAAGCTTTGGTGCTAAAATGCGTTCCATTAGCTGCACATGCAAATTTATCATCTCTTCCTCCTTTAAGCGTGTTCAAAATCAATCAGTCAGTCAAGCTATCGTCTTGCCGTTAAAAACACACAGCACGATAATTCAGTACGAGAGAACTTATTGAAAGGAGATTGCTCAAATTGGCCTAAACGTACAAAAAATATTGACATATGCGATATCATAAAGTCTATTGCCATAAATTTTTCGCCAAACACCTCCATAAACACATTATAAGGTGTGGTACCTTAAAAATGTTAAATATGGATATAATATAAACATAACAAAAATAATGAAGCTACTGAAGATATGGCTGTATAACCTAAATCTCTTAGCTTTCTTTGGTTAACGAGAGTTTAAAAATTCTCTTTAATCTGTGGCTCATTCACAATCATCACACAGTTTCTGTCACAGAGTACCTTAATAACCGGAAATGCATAGATGATACCTGATTTTAAAAGTTACTCTTGTGCATTAACTTTAAAAATAGGCAAATATCTGTTAATCTACATGCTCTATATACCTGAATCTAATACATAATTTCGGTACTTGGCTTGATTTCCCTAGTTTAGTATATAAGTTATTTATTTTTTATTATTTTAATACGTATGTACCTATTTGCAAACATAACCTCAAAATCATTCAGTGTATATGGTTTATAGAAGTTCTCAGGGGTGTCCGTCAATAATATTCGTTTCTACAGTAATTTATATATAATTTAGAATCTAGGAAACAATTTTTCATGATTATTGGTCTTTAGGCGAAACATGTATGGAAGCTGAGCAATCTCCTTTCAAACGCTAATTTTAGCATATTGTACCAAAAGCCACCCGAAGCTTCGTTCCGTAAGTGTGAGAATCCCTATTACAAATGTCCTGTCATGCTATTTTGTAAGGACAAATTCCAGATTCCGAGGTGAAAAGTGAGTTTGTTCTTACAAAATAGGACTGCAAGAAAGGTTTCCTATATTTTTTTTATTCAAGATATAGCTGCATCTTGACCGACCTCAAAAACAACCATTTTGTTCAGTTACCTGTTAGTGACACCACTGAAGTCCATGCCATATGAAATATTCTCAATATCCCCTTTCTTCACACCACCTGTTCCCATAGTCTTCATTGAATCTACACTATTCAGCCCTGCGTAATGTACCTGAAACGTTTAATTTGTTATTAGTACTTTGTTTTAAAAGTAGCCTAATAGTAGGAGAGCTACTGAACCCTCCGAGTAACGGTCTGTCTGTAAGGCTAGAAATTCTTATGGTGATGAGTCATAGCGCTAAAAAGAATAAACTGCTGCGAATGAGTCAAGTGACGCTGAAGAACACATTAAAGGTAATACCACGGTAATAATATCATACAGTATTCTATCTTCATACAAACGGTTGGAAAGCGAGTCATACCTACGCCACTCGAGTTTGAGGCACTCTCGGCGGGCACCCAGTCGCGAATGCGCCGCCGCGTCGCAACGACGACCGAACGGTTTGAATTGTTTTTTATCCAGTTAGCCGTGCTTAAACGTGCGTTTTGTATTGTAAATATTTGATTGAATTAACTAGATACCTACGTAATTTAGTATGGAAAAGAACAAACGACGATCAATATCGTACAACAGCACAATTGCTGTTTTTGGTTGCTTGAACTTGAATTTCTAAATTACCTGAAATATTGGAAAGGTGTCTTATCTTTATAGAATATTTTTTATAGATACCTATAGGTAGATACCTATCTACTAGTACGTAATTTGTTTCTAATATTTAGGTATTTCGATTTTTCCATCGGGCAAAATATCTGGAATAATATATAAATAAGTGGTTAGGATGAAAAAAGAGACAAACGAGTAATCTACCTACACTCGCGTTAAAAACAAAACTACATAAAATACTGTAGGCGGGCGGCCCTACCGTCTGCTAATGCAGCGCTCGGCCGTAGGCATTTATTTCAAGGACAGGGCGGAGTCACAATACTGTATAGATAATATTACCGTGGTAATACACATTTCATAAAAATATATATGAAATTCTATATAATTGAGCGCAAGGTCAGATATTTAATGTTATTCTTAATATATTAAAACTTTGTTTCTTTTTAGATGATGAAATCAGCAACTAAGGCTCCCATTATGACGATGAAGAAAGTGATGATGATGAAGATTCATTAATTATTTTAAAGTCTTATATAAAAAATATTTTACCCATAACTTTTATTTTCACATCATTTAATTTGCATTAATAATATACCATAAGTTTTCATACTACGACTATTACTCGCACTGCCGCAGCATCTTTCTCCTCGCCTGGCAAGGACTTGTGCTAACCAGAACAGCCTGGCATTTTACCTTCTTACTTTAAATCGTTTAAACAAACACATATATAAATTTCAACTTTACAGAATAAAGTTTATTTTTATGTATATACTAGCTGACACAGCGAACTTCGTACCGCCCTAAAAAAATAGGGGTTGTCCAGCGGACAAAATTGTGAACCTAAACCATTCTCAGATCCCCTTGAACACACACAAAAAAAAATCATCAAAATCGGTCCAGTCGTTTAAGAGAAGTTCAGTGACATACACACTCACAGAAGAATTATATATATAAAGATTACACACCTTCCGGTTCACCTGGCGGGTACTTGTGCTCATCTTAATCGCCTGTATTTTTTTTAAACTTAAAAATGATTGAACTAAATTGTATAAAAATTTCAAGCTTACAGTAACAAGTTTTATTTTAATATTTTTTGACACTATCAAAAATATACGGCTTGATGACGTGCAGGGTTGAGGGTGCCAGGTGATACTTACCGTACGAAGCATGCTAGGACTCATCACCATAAGAATTTGTAGCCTTACAGACAGACCGTTACTCGGAGGGTTCAGTAGCTCTTGGTCTATAATGTTATTCACCCATAATTCACTTATTAGTACATCGGATAGTTCAAATATTTTTTTAAATTTATGTGTGTTTGTATAAGTGTCGAAATCTTCAGAATAAAACTTTCGATGAGTGCATTTATCATGTATTTATCTAACGACGTATTTTTGCCCCTGAATAGATGATGAAAAAGACTTGAATAACAAACCGTAACGGGAATTCCACGGGGTTCAGGCTCTGGCATTTCAACCCAACTTAACGAATCGAGATCACCAATGCATTTGCTTCGTAAAGTTATGTAAGGAGACACGGAGGTCTTGTCTTCCAATGGTAGATAGTATTCACCTCCCCAAATACCCTAAAATAGAAATAAAGATATAAAAATTTGAGAAGAATTTCCATTGAATAATCCCACACTCCGGAACAGATCACGAAAAGTTTATCAAATTGTTTATAATATAACTTACTTCATCGAGTATATTGACTGCCAAATCCAGTTCTGGCAATTCGACTTGATTTTCATCTTCACTTTTACTACATTTAACCATTACTAAGTAAACATCGTTTAGTATTGATTCTTTTCTCCATTTTTCCACTAGATCTTTTACGCCTGGTACAGGTGGATAGGAGCTTAAAACCAATAATTTATGGTTTGGTGGTAAACAATTTCTCGTTGAGGACAGCATGCCTAAATCACTTTCATTTCTAATCGTAAGAGCGGTTGTGGAAGACGATGAAGTTGGTCGCCATTTTAAAAGATTTAACTTTATATCGCCAGCATTCTGCGAAGCTACTATTCGGTAAACATTGGAAGGTCTTACGCGTACTACATCTTGGGAACTCTGTTCGATGCTTAGGATGAAGACGTTTTTTCTTGTAACGCTGTACAAAAGTTCACACATCTGCAAAAAAATCAATCATGATTATTTTTACAAAACCTGAATAGAGGCAACTTTGGTTTTTGATGCAAGGAAAGTTAAAAACTGATGAATTAATCAAAAATTTAAAAAGTATTTGACAAGTATCGAAACGCTTTTTGGGAACAAATAATTACCTACTATACTAATAACTAACATGACTTGATAACTATACTTACATTGTCATCCATAGAAAGATTTTCGACTAATATCAAATCAGCATTAGCCAATTTTTCACGGGATAGTTCTTCTGTACTCAACTGACGTAAATCAATTTCCAGATCAGGCAAATCAATTCTCCCGATATTTGCAGATACTGTGCTCCTCTTAGAACCAGTTAAAATTTCTATAATACTCAACACTTTTCTGTTAACGTTTGCAGATACAATTTGAAGACAAATGTCGACTGATGTTTTGATCTAATAATAAAACATATTAAATTTACATTAACACTATTTACTACATTTGAATACGTATATTTCAGTTTTAAAAATCAAACTTACATCACTTGGCGATAGATTAAAATGAGGAATGAATTGCAAAGATCTTATAACAGCTTGCTCTGCATTAGAATGAGCGAGATCATTGAATTTGAACGATTCCATAGTAATGCCTGCACAGCTGAAAATAAATTAAATAATAGAATCAATAAATTTTTAAACATTATGTTTAAACATGACTTCTAAAGAAGAATTCAGTAATACCTAGTTTTGTTTAATATTTCGTCTACTTCAGCTGTAAGAATAACTTTTCCATTTGAGTCTGTCGTGAGCGCCAGACTATGTTCTTTAGTGCTGATATACATTTTCCTTATCCCCAAGGGTCTAGAGAAAGTATCGTGTTTCCTCCGTAAAATATTCATCTGTAGCATGCCGTCAATAAGAGTTACCCAATTATTGTTATAAAGTAACTTAGCTTTGGTAAGAGACTCGTTAACTGCGTAGATGCTACGGAATATACCGCTGAAAAAAAAATCTTCTGTTAAACAACAAGTAATGATTTTCTTATCGACGTTATATATCATAACCCATAAGTATACTTACCCATATGTATATTCTCTATCATAAAGTATTTGGTATATATCGTTGCTATTGTAAATCATATTTTCTTCCGTTGTTTCCAGAGAATTTATGACTCTATCATTTAAGTCCTCGTTTATGTACCCAGTTACTATTTTTGAATTGCCTTCCATAACCTGAAGAACAGAATAATATTCCATCACACCTTTTTTTTCTAATCGCTACATTTTCAAATTTCGATGAAATTTAATGACAGAAGGAACAATATGATTCTATATTTTACAATAATCGTAAAATCTTCGTAATCGTGTTATCAATATTGTTTTATGTCACATGAAATAAATCATACATTCCTGATTAACCATTAATTTACTTTTATAGTTTTAAGTTAGTTTTTAATTTTGTTTTTTATGTTAATGTTTATGTGTTCTTTCATTGTTGTGTAATACTCGTGTAACAAATGGTTAATGAAAAATCTCTCTCGCTCTCTCTCTCATACATCATCGTAAACTAAAACGTAGTATAATCCTAAAATTTCCCGTTGCTTTTCTTGGTGTAATATATTTTTTGAACTAGCGGCCGCTCGCGACTTCGTACGCGTGGAGTTAGTTATTTTGACCCCAAAAGGGGGTTTATTTCTAAAAAGTACTTACACATGTAAATCGATTTGATGTTTTTGAAATCTCATAGATTTATTTATATCCAAAAAGTGCTTACACATGTAATTCGACTTGATGTTTTTAAAATCTCATAGATGGCACTGCTTTAAAAGTGTCTATTGTGTTTATCGGCCTAAGTTACTTATAGTGTGAAGCTAGCTTATAGCATGGTTTACATAATAACAACATTCAAATATGCGTCGTTACATTACACGTTGTTGCAGAATGCGTTGAAGAAATAAATGTTCACTGCTTGTTCCCTTGAAGTGATAGCGTGATAAAATGTAGCCTATATTGTTGACCTGACTTCTTAATAATATTCGTGCCAAATTTGAAGTAAATCCATGCAGTACTTTTTGAGCTTATCCCGGACATACATACAGACAAACAGACAATAATTCTAAAAACTATATTTTTGGATTTGTTATCGATTGTAGATCACACCCCATGTATTCTTTCTAAAAAATTTTTAAATATATTACCAATGATACTCGCAAATAATGTGGCTTTCTATTCGTAAACAATTTTTAGATCCAGAGATTACCTCCTATAACTTCACAATTCACAATCTACCTCTTTATATAATAGTACCTATAGATTTTTTGTTTTATATTAAATTACTTACTTCAAAGCGACCTTGTCCTCTGTGTATCGCCACACTGATCTTCAATGGTCTAATGTCGTTTAGAACAGGCTGTGCGTAAAATTGAACATCACTGAAAGCCACCGACAGACTTTTCCTCGGTTTGTGTTTCGACATTGCTAAAGTATCCCAAACAGCTACTAAGGCAGCCGCATAGGGATAAACGTTTTTTCCTGCAGAAAATTTAATTTAAAAGGTTTATGCGGACATAATAATTATGTTTCTGGTGTTACTGATGGGTTCACGACAATCAATAGATTCTTCAACAGTGGATTTACCTTTAACAACATGACCACTTAGATAACTGAATTCCGGGTCATGAAGGCAAACTATATATGTAGCAGCTGCTGCAATTTTTCTATGTGCAGCAACGTAAAACGGTAATGGCCTGAAAATAACATAGCAATTTTAAGGAAAATATTTCTAGCAAAATTTGACGTGGACCAGGCAGCAGACGGGACTCGAAACCGGGTGCGAGTTCGTTATCCAGGCTAGGAATACCTACAATGCGAAGAGATGGTGCTGCCATGCAGCTTAAAAAAGGCTAGAAGGAATTTGGCACAGCCAGCAGGGCTGCGGCAGCATAATGGTCGGTGCATTCGCCCGGAAAGAGAAGGGTGCGGGATCGAGTCCCGTCTGCTGCCTGGTCCGCGTGGATTTTTTTCTAGTACTATTTTTTTTAGAATTAAACATCGAGCAGTTACATGCTTAAAAAAATGTAGCAATTTTAATTTGAGTTTAGGTTTATTTTAGAACTATCATAAAGTTTGAAAAGAACCATTTCTCGTTGTGGGCCCACTCCACCAGATGTGACAGCATTGGGGTTCCAGTAGATACTGGGTACTCTATTTTTGGGTATAAAGCTTGGACTTTAGGATGATATCCTTCCATGAACAACCTGTAACAAATGTTTTACATTATTTCTAAGATTTGTATACGGAAACAATCGAATCAATTTTGATAAAACGTAAGTTTAGACTTACAAATAATGTAATGCAAGTGGTATAATAGTTAACACTTCAGAAAGCAGGCAAATCATTGAGCGTGCAATTTCCGGCCACGTGAAAAAACACCTTCAGTTGTAAAATTTTGTTTCCATGTAAATGCGACATAAATTATGCAACTCCCACTCTTGCGCGACGAAGCTTCGAGCTTTGGTACCAAATGCACTAAAATTGGAATTTGAAAGAATTGGTCGTAATAAATTATCGGGCGGCGTATCTATAAACGGAAGACGATAGCTTGACTGGTGATAATTTGACACGCTACGGAGGTTGTGGAAAATGATAAATTTGTATGTGCAGGAGTGTAAGGAGCCTACTTCATTCAAAGATCGAACGCTAATGTTAGCGCATTTTATTATCAAAGTCACCCGACGCTTCGTCACGCAAGCGTTGAGAGAAATATAATAATTTATTGAAGCAAAAAGATAATGGTAGATAAAAATCTACCTACTATAAAAACAAATACCGATCGTTTAGTTGAAATTCATCAAACAAATGTTACAATTTTAGAATCTTAAATAAATTTTCAAACAAGTTCTAAAATGAGGACATTTATGGTCACTAAAATTATAGCTATTAACGGGATTGTTACCATGGTTTATTATGGGTCTCCGATATGTCTGCCAATAACATCTATCCGCACTTACTTCAGTTACTGCGTGATCATGGGGCTTGCAACAGTGCCGAAATATCAGAGACCCATAAAAAAAAACAATGTACATGGTAACAATCCGTTAATAGCTATAATTCATACAGCAAATTTCGCCCTATCGTTTATTGCAGTTTTCGTAGTCCGGTAAAAAAACAATCACGGTTATCATTTATATCGTGGGTACGACACCGCCGCCCCGTCGGGGACAGGGGCATGGACCAGGTGACACTATATTCGCGAAGGCAGCAGAGGGTCAGGGTGTGTCTACACCCAGCGGGCTTGGGCCACTGCGGTTGATTGACAATTGCATGGCTCTTCGTGTTTGGGGAGAAGTCTAACGCGCTAAGCTTCTCCCGCCAGAAGAGGGACCAGGGGTTCTTCCTACAGGGGTTGGATGGCCCTGTGACTCGGAAACGGTTTCTCGCCACGCCAAGGATTTGCTGTGTGGTTTTTGGTGGGCAGGCCTCTAGGGACTCGTCGAACGAAGTTCCATTAAACGTATCATCGGAGGAGAGTCCTACGTAACCTCGCCTCTCGTCAGGCGGTATAAGAAAATAACAGCCAAGTGCGAGTCGGCCCCACTTATTTTTTTTTAATAATTATTAACGCTAATGTTAGCGTTTTTAATAATTATTAAAAAAAAATAAGTGATGTAACTAAAAAATTTCGGCTTTCGCATTTTTTTTCCTTTAACTGTGCTGTAAGTCGTTGCTTCGTACCAAATTTCAAGATTCTGAGTTCACGGGAAGTACTCGCAGTTTTTGATTCCCTTGCGAGTTTCGGTATCTTTTGTTTGCATTGGCTTAGAAGTTTGATTTTTTCACAGCTCCAAGGGACAGTAGACCCAAGTATTTGGTATAAATTTCAGCTTGATACCTACACGCGTTCCTGAGAAAAAGGGTCTTGAAAGATGGTCGGACGGACAACAAAGTGATCCTATAAGGGTTTCGTTTTTTCCTTTCAAGGTACGAAATCCTATAAAAGTTCACCAAGAAGGGCTCCTTCAAAAGACTTACTTGCCAATCCCTTCGAGTAACATCAGTGCATTATCAGGATGTCCACGGCGCGTAAGAGGTATGTGCTTGCAGGAGACGGGTAGCGAACGTTTCAAGATGGCCTGCAGTAGCCCGTGCGGGGCAATTTCTACCAGCACTGCGTTAGCCGGGATTAGTGTAGCTGTTTCTTCAAAAAGTACTGCATTCTGTATATATATAAAGAAAGAAGTATGTCATGGTTTGTTTTTAAAATACAATGACATTTAAATACAAAATGCTTCCTTTAAACCGATCTGCTTCTAACAAGGAAATGTAAACTTGTATGCAGTCTTTCTTAGTTTGTAAATAACTTTTTTGATTGAAATATTAGGTAGTTAGTCATCTTCATCATCATCATCAGCCTATAAATGTCCCCACTTCTAGGGCACAGGCCTTCCCTATGGATGGAATAGGGAGATGTGGCCATGACCCACCACGCGGATTGGCGGGTGCTAACGACTGCAGATGCAGCCGGGACCAACGGCTTAACGTGCCTTCCGAAGCACGGAGGAGTTCGAGATAGTGAATTTTCGGTCACCCATCCATTGAACGACCACTGCAAAAGTTGCTTAACTTCAGCGATCGCAGCCGAACGCGCTAATGCTTTATTCACATGAAAATCCACATTCAGATGATTATCATGTTACGCTTTAGGATTTCTTTCCATTATACCATTACATTGCTAAGGTCCCATGGAAATGAAAAAGCTTAATATTTAAGCGTCTTTTTTTGGTCTACTTTTCCTCTAATTTATTTGGATTTTTATCTATTACCCAATCTGAGCATTACACCTCCATGAAGAGCTCGATGGCGCAAGTGGTTAGCTCGTTCGGCTGCGATCTTAAAGTTAAGCAACTTTCGCAGTGCTCGGTCATTGGATGGGTGACCAAAAATCTTCTATCTCGAGTTCCTCCGCGCTTCTGAAGGCACAATAAGCCATTGGTCCCAGGTGCATCTGCAGTCGTTAGCACACGCCAATCCGCACTGGGCCCGCGTGGTAAGGTCATGGCCCAATCTCCCTATTCCATTCATAGGGGAGCCCTGTTTCCCAGCAGTGGGGACATTAATAGGCTGATGATGATATGATGATGATGATGAGCATTACATCATTACATTGCTTAGGTCTAGGTCCCATTAAAGTTAAATAACATAAAGTTTTTTTTTTATAATATTACGTCAGTAATCGTCACCGGAGCATCGGAAGTCTGCTTTTCCTATAATTTATTTATGATTGAGGTAATGATTCTAAGTTTGCTATTCATATTATTAATTAAGTCACCTTGCCATGCCATGCCACCCAGAACACAAAAGAGTCGTCCATTGACATCGACCATGACATTTTACTTTACAAATAGATGCAAATTCATTGCATTGTAAGTATTATCAACCCATTTGATTCCATAACTAATGGTAGCTTTTATTTCTTTGCTTTGCTATTTTTCTTTATTCTTTCTATTGAGTGTCGCCGCACACGGGCCACACGCCACAGCCACAAACGCCGCCACGAGAAGCTAGAAGTGGCTACTAAAGTGGCTGAAGCGCGCGACAGCAGCTGACTAAGGTAAGGGTTGGGAATCGCGCGAGTGACGTGTGGCGGCGTTTTGTATCGGCGCATTAAGTGGCCGGTGCGGGCCACAAGAAGCGAGCAACGACGATTTGTAGCGTGTGGCGGCCACCGGCGTACCGTGTGTGGCGAGTCCATATAAAATGTATGAAAACCACAACAAATATGCCGGTGGCGGCGTTTTGTGGTTGTGGTCGGTGGCCCGTGTGCGGCGACACTAAGACTACTTCTGATATCTATTGTTGGTCCGAGGTGCTCAGTGTTCGTTAACTATTCTTGTACAAAAGTATCACAAATAGCCTGCGCGGACAAAGGACTTGCATTCGCGAAAAGCTAAAAGTCCCTGAATCGTGAATAAAATGTTCGCTGAGGACTTAAATTTCATCGATGACTTGCACGAGTAAATTAAATATAATTTTTAACTGTAGTACTAATTATAACCTTAGCGTTTGATGTTGGTTTGTGTAAATTCTTACCAGTAGATTGTTAGTGTGGTATTGAGCTGACGAGGTTTTGGCTTCTGGTTCATTCCACTTGTCAATCGGCACAGATGTGGACACCCAACGGTCGCTCCTCTGTTTTGGCTCCTTTATTACTTCAGTTAAGTACTTCAAGAGTCCTGGCCCTGGTTTTGGGTAAATTAATAGAAATTAAAATCACGAAGAACTATCCAAAACTTATTTATGGAATGAATGTATTCAACTTAGCTTTATAAAATAATCTACATGAATTTGACCAAGACTGAGTTTTTAAAAATAAATTGTACGATCAATTAAAGAGATATTATACTTAGCTTATAGATTTTTACAATTTTATAATGAAATGAAAATTCATATATTCTGTCTAGGCTGTTACAAGCACTTGTGAAGGTCAAGAAGCTACGCCATCGGTTCACAAAACTGCGGCGGGAGACCTTGTACTGAGAAGAACCGGCAAGAAACTCAGCAAGGGCTGCTTTCTTCTCTCTGTATTGATTGATACAGAGTCGTCAAGTTGAAAAATGACTTCAGAGATACTGAAGTCACCTTCCATTACTTCCATATAGCTGTTCTTACCAGCTTGCTCAGCATTTTACTAAACTTATACTTGTGAAGTTAAAGTTAAGTTAATTAAAGGGGGAACGCTGCCAGTATCTTCGGAACCTTGCCTAAAGGAGTCCCTTTAATTTTAATAATGTATTTTAGTTATTATATTTTATTTTTTAAGGTTTTTAGTTTTAGGTTCATTGTTATAGTATATTTTTTGTTTTAATATAAATTGTAATTTCTGAAATGTAGGCCAGGTAACCGTTACTTACTTTATGTTACTATAAAAAGAAATAGTTTTGAGAACTTATTTTCAAATCATGATATATCTGTGCCCAATAATAATTATTATACACAGCATTTGCAAGAATAAGTGACATTGAGAAGTTCAGTAACAAACTCTAGTTTGAAAGGAGAATGCCCATATTTGGTACAGCTTTGTCTCATGCCTCAAGATAAAATTATTATGATAATTATTTTCTTTAATTTATACGTACGATGGTCTATCAGAATGGCTATTTTGAACAGGGAATATTTTTTAAAATAATATTAGTCATAGTACTGTATATATTTTGAGCCGGATATCTGACGTTTGTTTATTTATCGTAAAAATAGTGATGCCATAGTACCCTATTAGTTATACATTATAATCGATTGTTGTTTTTGTTATCGATGAGTGGGCCATCAAAAAGCAAATAAATCACGTGTTACTAATTATTGTTTAATAGTGATTTTACGTTTTAAGACAATAAATGTCTTAACTGTTGCGATGACAACTCGTCATTTATCTATTTCGTCTCTATGCTTAATATATCATAGTCAGTAACCCGTCGCTTGGCTTAACTCGACACTTTCCTATCACGTCTCTTGCTGTATGTAGTGTATACTTACATTTTCATCTCTATCTATAGAGATAGAGATGAAAATGATAAAATGTCGAGCATGTAGGTAGTCGGACAAAAAGAGGCACGTGTTTACCCAGCGCTTTGTCTTGCCTACGTAGTCAAAAGGCCTTATTCTTGAACAAAAAATACAATGATTGTACATTGGCTTGTGCCGCGTCCTGTTCTACGTCCATAAAAGTATCTAAGTTACAGAGGGACGGACGACAATGACGATAAAGAGAGGCTAGTTAATCTGTGCAGGCATGCTCTTAGGTAAGACGGAACGTGTAGCCGGGGTATTCGAATCTAAGTTTAAAAATTCAACACGTATTAATAATGTTAATCTTCGGCGGAAATCTTTAATCGTTGTTTTTATAGAAGGCGCTCACCTAACTGTCGATTTCATCATTAACTAAGTAGTAACTAGTAATTATATTTATTTCTATGCTGTTTATTAATTAATTGAATCTGGATTTATTTGTATCTGACTTGATCTATTCATTGCGTAAAATCGATTATATACAAAAACATTTTTTTTTGTATTCCATCGATTATTCGTATATTCAATTTCAGATCATCATCACCCTACCCTATTGCAAATGATTGGAGAATTGTCAATTGTTGTTACTCCTATTTTTGTGTTGATTGAGTTTTTTACATAAATTGTGAAGTGATAATGATTGCGTGTGAACGTATCAAACGTTTTTTTTCTGAGTTGTTAAGACAGGCAAGACGTTTTCAGGAAAAAAACAGTGTATTCACGACAGGACGTTTATTTACCGTATGTGTGTTTGTAGTGTTCTCTACTCACGCATTCTACTTCAAATGAGGAATCGATGACGATTAGACTATTTGACTGGCTAAACCAGTGTATTGTAAAACTTTATTTCCAGGGCCCAAGAGGTGATACTTAATTTTTGTTGTAGAAGAACAGTTTAGCCCTCAACATATTACAGTCATGGATAAATCCTACTCAGGTGAGCTAATATTGTTTGGCTAATGTCATGTGCAACTAACTGTATGAAATATATATTAACTGTTTTGTTTGACTTCTTAAAAAAGTAATAACAGTTCTAGATACTTAGGTTAGGAATCATTTACTATCACAATCTTATGAGAAAACTATTATTACTGTGTATTATTACTGCATATCATACTTAATTACAAATCCAGAACTAAGATGTTTGTAATAGTCATGGTAACATTTAGATTTTATTTTATTTGTTTTTTTTATCACTAGACAGGTAATAGATGATGAGAGAATACAGAAATTCTTTAAAATAAAGAGAAAGGAATTTTCCATATTAATTATTATTTTTTTATTAATGTTATCTTTTTAGATCTCAAGAATGGAACATGTATGTGCTGCATGTTGGAGATTCAACAAGTACAAAGGCAACAACAACATGACTGAAATCGCCTTACTCTTGGAGATACTACATTAAGTGGCAATCATTCTATACCTGTGCCACCTCCTCTGCCACAACCAAGACTAGAAGCAGTTCAACAAGTGACTCTAAAAATTGTATCATCATCATCATACATGCTGCTAACTCTCCTGTGTATTTGCAAATTGTTTAGAGCCTGAATGTCTACTTATTTCATCTACCATCAGGGATCTCTTATTGTATAATAATAAATTGTGCATACCAGCTGGTGCATGTGTTTGTCATCACTATTTGAATTATGGTCTATGGAATGAATTAACATAATTAAGAGATTTTACTGGCACACAGTTTGATAATATAATGATTATGATACAGCGATCAGCCAATTACTAATTAGATTTTTCTAATGTTTCAATTGTCTCCTCATTTATGTCATTATTGACTTGGTATGAACTCTGAACAGTTTTATAATTTGCTCAACTGTATACCAATCTAGCAGATCAAGTGCCAAACGCTTCTATAGCCTTTTGTATTTATTTAGTTAATTAAGAACTGCTGATAACAACAAAAGATTGGCCACTCTTTTCAATAATCCAGCAGCTACATTAGAACGTTGTAAGACAAAAGCTACAAATTGTTTGAATTTCTTTGTTTGTAGATGATATTTCTCTTGTTTTAGGTCTAAATAGTTATTTATTAAGAGGTAGGATTAAATCCTGACACTTAAGCAGCATACATATAACTCATATTTACTTATCAGTAGAGATGCTGCTTTGGCAGACACATTAGATATATATTAGGCTATAAAAGGTTATTAGTGCAGCTGTCTCGTTGGTAAACAACCTGTGTGCTGTTATGACCACATAATGACTGTAGTACAGTTTTTAAGTTGGGGTCGTTACAATGATGTTACTGCTCTGGCGCCTTATTTAGATTATTTTTTCTATGAAGATTATGTTGATTTGAAATATACCGGTAATTCAAATATAATGTGTACAATTAATATATGTAATCTAATAAAAAGTGTCCTATATTAATGTTTTTATTTACCTATACGTAAATCTGCCATCACTGAAATCTGTGTTGTCATGAAAATCTATGCAGTAGGTTGGAAAAACAGTGAAAGACTCAAGTTGATCAAAAATAACAGAATAAAAAAGTACCCAAAATAGCTGTAAACCAACTTTAAATAGGAGTTATTAAGGATTTGAGGTTATGTCACATTTTTTACAATAACATTAAAACCCCTGTTTTTATTTTCAAAATTCCAATTTGTCATACTAATTTGAATATTAAACGATCATTTAACATTTGTTTGGTATTGATGCAACCATTGTACGGCGGTCCATACATCCATGAGCATTCTCCTTTAATCTATACTTATAATAAATCTGTAGAGATGTCAATTCTGTACATGAAATATATTTTTAAAAAAACTATCAGGGGGTGATTAGTGATCGATACTGATGCCAAAAATGCAATCAGTAAATTTTTTGTCTGTCTGTCTGTGTGTTTGTTCCTTATAGAAACAAAAACTACTCGACGGATTTTAACGAAACTTGGTACAATTATTCTTCATACTCCTGGGCAGGTTATAGTATACTTTTCATCACGCTACAATCAATAGGAGCAGAGTAGTGAAGGGAAATGTTGGGAAAACGGGAGAAATTACTATATTTTTTAAGCTTCCGTCGCGTATGCAGCCTTAATGATTAAAGTTACATAGAAATCATGTATGACGGAAATATTCTACATAAAATTGTCTAAAAAATATACCGCAACAGCATATGTCTATCTTAACCATAAAGGTTGACTCACAATAACACGTGTAACTCCCGATAGCTTAGCAGTTCGGAGCATTCTGATCATATTTGTTTACTCTTACGTTTATAATACTCTGACTCATCCCTAATTTAAAAAAGTTAACATTATTACCTTTTCAATAAAAACAAAACATAGAAATCGGTATAGAAACACCAAACTTATACATGAAATAATGTCGAAACGCGCCGTCGCACGTGAATACTGAATCATGCTATAAGGATTATTTTTGTGTAAAAGGCGGGAGGTCCGAGAGCGAGCTGTCTAAATCTGTTTTCTGCGTCGCCCCCCCCCCCCCCCCCGGGGGACGATCGCTTCCGATGAAGCCTTAGAGGCCTACCCGGCCAGAGGCAGCCCCTACGGGTGTTTTTTAGTCAGTACGAGTCTGACATAACCTTGCAGCCGGCTGTAGGGTATCCATGAGGATGTCTCACCTGCTCCCCCGTCTGGCAAGAAACAAAAAAATAAAAAAAAGAGAACGAGCGAGCTTCAATATTTGGCTGTTGATGAGTTCAGAGCGTTCGACCTTATTGACAGACAATAATTGAGAAATATTGAGAAACCGTGCTTATCAGCGCGACTTTTAGTCTTTAAATAGTTTATTTGAATTTCTTTTGTTGTTATTTTGTAAAATAGGTATTAGTTGTTTTGGTACTGTTGAAATATTCGTTCAAATTAAAAATTATTAAGCGTAGGTACTTTTATTAATTAAAATAGTTATAAGTATTTATTTTTAAGTGAAGTAGGTATAGGTAGATAGTATTGCACAGGCGTTTTAGCTTTATTTTCATTTCTTTTTTGTTGTGAGTTGTATATATTTCTGGTTATAATTCTATAAGAATATTTTAGTTTAAATAGTCACTTAGATTTTAAGTGTTAGGTAGCTAAAGTTAGGACCACGTATTAGTTGTTTTGGTAGTGTTTAAATATTCGTTCAAAGTGTAATTTAATCATATGGGATGAATGTACGATGGCCCATCGAAAAGGAGTAGAAGCGGTAGACAGAACTTAAAGGGATATAAGACAAAATAATCGAGCAATGGGCGGTATCACAGTTTTATTTTGTGGTGATTTCCGACAAACCTTACCGGTAATACCACGGGGAACCCGAGCTGATGAGGTTAAGGCTTGCCTGAAAAGCTCTTATTTGTGGCGTGATATACATCGGTGCATTTGACTATAAACATGCGAGTGAGAACTGTAGATAACCCGGATGATCGTGAATTTTCTGATATATTATTAAAGAAAATACCTTCACCAAAGATACCTATCCACTGCTACACAAAGGAAAACTTATTCTGACGCCTGAGTTATGTTGTATAGTGCAATACCAACAACATCTTACATCGTCAGTTTACGGTGACGTAACAAATATATATTAAATAAGGACAATTCTTGGCTACGCGAAAGGTCCATTTTAACTCTTCGCAATGACCAGGCATCTGAGATTAATAATAAAATACTGTCGAATATCCAGGGGGAAAGCAAAGTTTATAGTTCAATAAATAGAATGGCCGATGAACAAGAAGCCACTAATTACCCGATAGAATTTTTAAATTCTTTAAATATGCCCGTACTTCCTTCTCATGAAATTTGTTTAAAAATTGGCATTCCGATTATTCTGCTCCGAAATTTAAGACCACCACAACTTTGCAATGGAACTCGGCTTAAAGTAACCGAGTTGCAACAAAATGTAATCGAGGTTCAAATTTCAATAGGTTGCGGTGTAGGAGAAACCATCTTTACTCCCAGAATTCCCATGATACCAAATAATTTTCCATTCTAATTTAAAAGAACGCAATTCCCAGTATCGGTGTGTTATGCAATGACAATAAATAAGGCTCAAGGGCAGACTTTTCGTAATGCTGGAGTAGATCTCGGTGTCAGTTGTTTTTCACATGGTCAGTTATGTCGCTCTTGCCCGGGTTAGTAGTCCTAGAATTTTTTATGTTCACGTGCCGGACGGGTCAACTTTTAACGTACTTTACCCGGAAGCTTTGCGCTGAAGTATTTTCATTCTATATGTACTTAAGCCTCATGTGAAAGCGATCTAAACAATATTACCAATACATTAACATAATAACATACAAGGAGTTACATGCTGATGATCTCGGGGCACAGTGATAATAATAATATTCTGCGGTTCCTTATTGCGATATTTCTAACAGTATTGTGGATTGACATATTATATTTCCCTACTAAAATACGAAAGTTAATCTGTCTGTCACATCAAAACCACGGAACCCTGAGGAAGGACATATGCTACTTTTTTACGAAAAACGACGAAAACGCGGACGAAGTCGCGGGCAAAAGCTAGTTTAGCAATAAGACCTTTGTGTATGTCACCGTCGGTATATAAGTTTAAAATAAAATAAAACTATCTTACCAGCTTCGGCGATGTAACGGGAGTGGTACGCGATGTTGGAGCACGGCACTTCCTTTGCAAAGATTCCTTTTGCGGAGAGATCCGTAACGAACTCTCGCATCACGTCAGCTGGACCTGATATAGTGCTGGACTCCGCCGAGTTGTGGCAAGCCACCTCGATTTCTGGAGGGAGCATGTCTTTGACCTGTTTTATAATAAAGCGCTTTATCCTTGAAATATATTTGATACTAACTAAACTAAATATATAGAGCTCAGAAAACGTATAGAAGCATTCGAAAATGTGGGCTTACAGACGAATGTTGAAAGTTAGTTGGACTCAAATGGTAACAAATGATGAAATCCTGCGACGTGTCGGCAAGAAACGCGAACTTTGGGATACCATCAGAGTGAGGAAGGTTGTGTATCTAGGGCACGTGATGAGATACGAAAGGTACACCCTTTAAAAATTTATAATGATGGGCAAAGTTGCTGGAAAACGAGGTGTCGGTCGCAGGAAGAAGTCTTGGTTGAGGAACCTACGAGAATGGACTGGAATCTCGAGCGCCGCTGAATTATTCCATCTCGCTAAGGATAAGGAGACATATGCTAAGGTGACTGCCAACCTTCGCTGTTCGGAGAGGCACTAGAAGAAGAAGAAGAAGAAACTAAATGCATTTACAATATTTTGGTTTGAGCAACTTTATGAGAAGGGGTTAGCGGATTCAGTCATAGACCAAATTGGAGGGTAAGCGACTATGTCTGGATTGAACAAAAGTAGCAAAGCTAGACTTTATGAGTATTCATACTTATTCATTAAAAAACTTGCTTCCGGTCACGGATCAATCCAATTTTTATGGTATAAGTGTTATTGGAATATAATTTGAGTTAAGTTTTTCTTTTTCTCCAAAGTCACTTTGATAGGCTAGCTAAAGTTTACTCTGAATTATTATTAGACATCTTTATGGAAAACAGCGTGTTTTTTTATACATATATTTAAGCTTTCCGTTCTTTTGTTTATTGGGTTTTTCTTTTGATATAGACACTAACTTCTTTGTAGCCGATGCCAACGGCTGCCATGGAGCCTCGGATGAAAGGCGTCTGCACGGAGACCAGCCCGCGGCTGTACGCGGACAAGATCATCTCCTCGGCCGTAAAACAACCGTCTGCGTACGCGCATCCCAGCTCACCTACACTGTGACCTGTGTAAATATGAACACTAAATAGTCAGATATTAAGGCGCACTACCAATTTTCACTCAAATATATTCAATTTCATTTCAGTCCTTCAGAGGACAACGCGCGCTGGCCTACGTTGTCACCGTCTTACTGTGGCCACAATTCCAACGCGTACAAAGAAATTTGGTGACTCATTTCTTTGTCGTACTATCCGTAAATGGAATGCTCTGCCCGCTCACGTGTTCCCTCCCTCTTACAACCTGGGATCCTTTAAAAGAGGCGTGAAGAAGCAACATGCAGGCCGGCAGGGTGAGGATGGCTGCTGTGGCAGGTAGAACTGCTGTATCAGCTATCTTCACGTCTGGACTTCACCTTCACTTAACATGAGGTGGGGTGGAGTCATTTGTCGAACCTATCTATAAAAATAATAATAATAACGCTTTTGGAGTTAATAGCGCGTCCACAATGTTTGCGTTAGCTATTGTGGATAGTTTTGAGGTATTATGCGAAAAAACCGCTTTGTTAAAATACAGATTGCGTGGCAGCTGCCACAATCTCCTGAATGAAATAGTAAGTAAGTATAGTGGTATTTATTATTGTATATGTGTAGGTATTTATCGTATATATAAATATGTAAACATGTATTTGTCGTATTATAAATATATAAATATGTTATATATATGTAGTTATTTAGGTATATTTATAGATGTTAATTATTATATTAAGTAACATGTAGTTTTATGAATTTAATTTTGTTTTTATTTCTCTTTAACTATATATAATGCTTTAATTTACTTGACCGCATAATGTCTCTGCTTAGCCCGATGGTTGACTGGTAGAGAATGCCATGTGGCATTAAGTCCGCCATTTGTAACATAACAATTAAGAGTAAATAAATAAATAAATAATCGAAAGGGGAGACTGTCCTCTGAACTGTAGCATAATTAGGAAAACAAAGTCACTGCTAGATATTACATACTAACACCTTGTACATTGAGGAGCTCGATGGCGGAGGAGCTCGATGGCGCAGGTGGCTAGCGCGTTCGGCTGCGATCGTTAAAGTTAAGCAACTTTCGCAGTGGTCGGTCATTGGATGGGTGACCAAAAATTTACTATCTCGAGCTTCTCCGTGCTTCGGAAGGCACGTTAAGCCGTTGGTCCCGGCTGCATTTGCAGTCGTTAGCACCCACCAATCCGCACTGGGCCCGCGTGGTGGGTCATGGCCCAATCTCCCTATTCCATCCATAGGGAAGGCCTGTGCCCCAGCAGTGGGGACATTAATAGGCTGATGATGATGATGACCTTGTACATACATTTTAACTTTGTACTGCAGCGAAAAACTGATTGCCTTAAGAATCATAGTTTGTTACATCCAGATATTCATGACAGATGATAATGACTGATTTGATGGAGAAATTCGCAAGTAGTCCTGTTTTGTGTCCAAAAATTTTACTATCTACTGCTCCTCCGTGCTTTGGAAGGTACGCTCAGCCGTTTATTGCGGCTGCATCTGCAGTCCTTACTTCCCACTAACCTGCACTAGGCCCGCGGAATGGGTCATAGCCCAATCTTCGTATCTTTCGTATCTGTCCTCAATTCCTATGTTCTTGGTTTATATAGGTTCTAGCTTCAGTAAAATAGGCAATTTAAAGGAGCAGAAAGGCAACGTAGAACTTGTTTTAAACTTGTTTTACTGGATTTAATTTAATGAACTACTTACCGATAATTTTATCAGGGACCAGTCCAAGTTCTCGCAGAATATCCGTGAGCCCAATCTGTATAGCAGCGATGCCAACAAACGAGTGAAGAATGTTATCGAAGATTTTTTTGTCAGTGGAAGTTATAATATGAACTAGATCGACTCCCTTCGGCTCGAGAGCACGCTGACATCTGTAATTATATACTTATTAAATTAAATTTTATACAATACAAATATCTGCTGCTCCAAAAAAAAAACAATTCTACGTATGAGAATCATAATCTGTTGGATCAAGCATGGACGAAATAAAAGTCAAAAAAGGAATATTATTTTAGAAATAACAAAAGCATAATGATATTTTGGGTATAATAATAAAATTGGTTAAAGCTGAAACAGTTTCCTGAACTTTTATTATTAGTAATAAACAAATAAATGATGCCAGAATTAGTGACCAGTTATATGGTGAGCATTGGTCAGTGGTCAGTGATACCGTTGAAAACGAAAACATTGCAGTAAATGCAATTATTGTGGCATTCCACCCCAAACAAAAAAACTTTGCTTTCACCTATAATATAGTAGTAGTATTCTTAAAAATTCAAGGTAGCACCTTCAATAATGGAAAAAGAAGTGGTTGCAAGTAAGAGATTATAAAATCGCGTCTACCTCTCGATGGCGGCGGCGAAGGTAGGTATGCGCATTAGTTTCGTGCCCATGCCGGCCCACTGCGAGCCCATCCCGCTGTACACGAACCACAGCGGGCGACGTGCATTATCAAAGTACTCCACCTGCTCCGTCAGGCTCACCGTCTTCTGTTCAGCATCCGTATCTAAACAAACGAAAATAAACGTCACTTCGATTGCAAATAGCAAGAACATTTGTTATACTCGTTTCAAGAACTTACGGCTGTTTTTAGAAATATCATTTAAAATTGATTCTTAAATTTAATTTAAATATTTTAATATGATTCTTCATTCTAGCATGCATGTTGTTGTATATATATCGCAAATCTAGTAACCAATGATGTCTTTTCTGGCATGATACTCTATACCTTAAATTAACTTTGACAACAGTGTATCCTTGTTATTTTTCATATAGAAAGATGCCTAGACTTCAATCAATCTCCGAAGTAGACTGGACTAAAGCTTTTGTAGAACTAGGTCGTCCGTTAATATGAAAGAACTATAATCTATTTACATGAAAGTCACTGGATGCAGTTCAGGATCGATCAGAGTCAATTCTTGGTAGGAGGTCTATGCTCAGCAGTAGCTGTTGTATTCTAAATGATCATATTCAGTTTTGAAAATTAAATAACATAACTGCAACCAACACTCGTGATGCCATGATTGCGACAGTACTGATCATCAATCAATAAAAATGAAATCTCTCATTACCAAGGATTATAAATCCTCTGCCAAGGTGTCCAGAGATATTTGTACTGTGTATGTTGTGAAGTAGCGCCAACTCCTCGGGATCCACTGGACGAGATTTCAAATCGTCAAATAGCTTCTGGACAGCGTTTTCATGCCTTCCAGATACCGTCAAGAGATGTGGTATACTCGACTTGTATCGCGCATAATCCTAAAATAATTGCAATTGTTCAATGTTATCTTAGTGGCTAATTGATAAATGTTTTTATTCTTTTAGAGTATTTCTGACCAATGCATAAAGCTTCTAGGCATAAGTATTATTGCCATGTTAATTTTTTGTGATTTAAATCAAAGATAGGAACATTTTACATTTAGTTGACATTTTGAATTAAGGTATACTATTGACTGACATTAAAAAATGTAATTAAAACTATTATTTTATTCTGTAATTTTTATGACATGTATAGTCATTTATATTGACATTGAATTCATATACCCTATATGAATTGAAATGAAATGAAATGATGACATTGAATGTATTTAACTTGACCTTGACCTGGAATTTATTTAAAGAAGCGAGACCGTAAATATTTTTATCTATTTTGATGCATGCAATTAAAACAGCGAGACATGCCTGTGGTGCCACTATTTTATTTTAAGACAAGTTTCTGGCATATAAAATCAATTTATATGTCTGATTCGCCCACTTCAAAAAATTTATACTATATATCTGTTTTTCAACAAAAAAGTTTTCTGATCTCAAGCATATTATAATTTACACTATCAATAATAAGCTTGATGTTCCATTATGATTACAAGAAACACAATACTAACTTTAATATGTAGCTTTCTTGATAAATTTTATTGCAGATCTACCTCTTCATGAAATTAAAGCACGTGTTAAAAATATTCTGATGAACAAAGGATTTTGTTAATTCCATAGTTACTTAAATGATAGAAGTATCCAATAAAGTCTTTGCAATGTCTTGTCATTAATATTTGGAATATGACATTGTAACTGATCGTCGCTATGTAGCGTTCTTTAGATTTAGACGTGTCAAAGATAAGAAGGCTTACAATAGTATACAACCGATTCATAGCGCACAGAATTTATTTTTATTACAATTAGATATATTAAGAAGACATTTTAATGTTACAATTGAAAAGCGAAATATTTTTTTATAACTATCAAAAGATGAAGGTTAATGTTAAACCATATTTACAAGCATCTATAATAGAAAGCTTCTTTTAGGCGCAGCGCACACCAGGAGAGGCGCGGCGAAGATACTGAGAAATTGGCAATTTAAGTGATAGTTTATACCTAAATCATTAGTTTAATCATTTAATTGCAAACATGGAACCATACACAAACGGCACACAGCTCTGCAAAGAGGCCACGAGAGCTGGCGCGCATTTTTATATTTTATTTATTTTATTATGTATTAAGTCACCGCATGGCGCTCCATGGCCCTTGACCGCGCTCGGAGTCGCCACGCTTATTATCTCCACCACGCCTCTCCTGATGAGCGCTGCACCAGATTCCATATTCTTGCCATACTTGCCTTTGGCTTATACCTTCCAGCGACTAACATATGTGCAGTACACCCAGTGATGGAGTGGTTATTAATTCCGACGTAGCCACGCTGAAATGGTTTGTTCTCAGTGACGATGTGTATCCTACCATCCTGCAGGGCGGGCACATCACTTCGAGGGTTAGAGCAGTGCAAGTTGGCAGGAATCTTGCCGGTTTGAAAGGCCAATAACACCTATAATTCAACAACATCGATCAAAACCAATCATTGTTATTAAGCATCATAAGCAAATGTATTTTTAACCGTATAAAGTCTTGGATTGAATTTATTCGGTCAATGGTACGTCCGACTGACAATGATGATCTTTCTAATGCCCAAAATTATTCAAATATGTCGTTTTTCAAAACGTTAGTCTCAAACGACTACATATCTTAACCTTGTCATCTAATTTTGTCGATTCATATAAAAAATATAAACAACACTTTTGATAAAGTTTAATAAATCACGGTAACTACTGTCGTCCTACAGACAGTGTCGTCGGACAGACTACACGTATGATCTTTGTAATTGACACATAATGTAAACTCAATGAAATAATTATATTATTGAAATTTATTGATATGATAAAAGCTTGTGAAATTTTTACCTTTATTAATGAGCACAGCCCCGTCGAAGCTTCCGTGTATCCAATGTTAGATAACACACTGCCTACTAACAATGGGTTTCTTCTGTTTTTGCAAAAAACATTGTCAATGGATTCTAACTCTGTTTTATCTGCATCAGGAATGGCTGTAAAAACAATAATGGTTTTCGTTTGTTGCTAGTCACCTAGTATAATGTTGGTATAAATTACGTTTTTAATTTTAAAATAATAAATAAATAAATATTTCCAACACACACCAATAAGCCTAGCCTCAAAGTAAGTACTATAATACTTGTGTTATGGGATACTAGGTTAACAGATATTAAACATGCATGACTGGTAATAGATATAAATACATATTAAACATGCATGACTGGAGTACAAATGCTCCTCACACAGACATCTGCCCCCACCGGGATTCGAACCCGGGACAACTCGAGTCGGCGACACCATGAAACCCGGCCGGCGTACAGACCACTCGGCCACGGAGGTCGTCAAATTTTTATTATTAGACGTGATTTTACAAACAAGTCCAGTTTGGATATGATATGCTATATTTTATTAGTTATAAGTTCATAACTACCAGCTCCCATGGCTTCCACGTATTCCACAGCTTCAGGGGGAACACTGACTTCATCATAGAAACTCTTCAAGTAGTTGCTCAAAGCGACTGGGTCTCTGTGAAATCCGTGTTCAGTACCGGAGCCTTTTACACCAATGTAATCATTTTTTATATGAACCAGTTCCCCGTAAACTCTAAAACAATTTAAAACAAATTATAGCCTATAGTTTTTGGTAGTTTACTGACATATAAGATATGTACTTATGCGGCTGTCAAATTGAGATATAAATAATAATAATAACTTTATTTTCTCTCTACAATATTATACATGCTTCATAGGTAACAGATTATAAAACTTAGGACTAAGATTGTGAGATACTGGTGATCAAACTAAGCTGACACCTGTGTCTTAGTGCACCATCCTCTCCCCGCTATAAGGAAATGTTACATACGCAAAAAAATGAATACAGCGATAAATTAAAGAAATATAGATTTTAGAAGTAAAATAATAACTTTTCAAACATGAAATTTGTCGCCTTTGTCAGAACAGAAATGGAAACCGAGCGTAGAATTTTTTCTAGTAAAATTTTCCCTAGATTCAACATCTAGCGGTAAATTGCTTAAGAAATAAAAAATATAGCAAAAGTACTTTTTTTCGTACTCTCGATTTAAAAAATAATGTTTATTTTATGATTAGTTCCTAAACCCAAAAAATATTGTCAAGTACCTCTCGTTGCTCTGTAAATAAAAATGTTGAAGAAGAATTGAACGTTTTCAGAATCAATCTAGTCTATACTGAATTACTTTTCAATTGTATAGGAAAAATATTATCAACAATGACGCAAACAAATGTTGTTAATGGTATCAGTTTCAGTAATATTGATATAGGTAAACACAAGTTACCTGAAAGCATCCTTCGCCTTCTGCAAAAAAACAACTTGAATGGCTTCCGATTTAGCACATCCTTTAGCGTTGTCGTCAAAAGATCTTGTTTTACCATCAGGGCAATTGGCTACAATTCTGAAATTTAACGATATGCACTTTTATTAGAATGTATTAATAGCAATTTGTAATTTAGTTTAAAAGAGCACAGTTGCGAATATGTGCCTAAATTTTTCTTATTATCTTTCTAGTTAATTTTTTTTAAATCACCATTTTCGCTAATTTGAATATTCTGCTTGAGAATATCGATATAGTTTGCAATGAAATGATACCTTTTGAAAACTCTTTAGAATCATCCAATATTTTTTCTTACCTGACACCTTTTAGGACATCTTTTAGCTGATGAGAAGAATGGGCGCGAGAAAATTATCAGCATTTATCAGAAGTAGCAACATGTTGCTGACAATACAAATTCCACTCACATTTAAATTGCTGTGTCATGCATTATAAATACAAGTGTTTTAAAATTCACCTAGTTAGTTAGTATATTTTTTTACCGGCCAGTATGGATGGAGGACTGAGGGTGCAAGAACAAGTTAGCACCACCAACAATAGCCGCCTCGCAGTCACCTCTAGTGAGTGCCTGGTAAGCCTGTGCGAGAGCTCCAGAAGAACTGCAGCAAGCCTCATCGATAGCCATGGATGGGCCTTTCAGGTTTAGCCAGTAAGAAATTCGGTTGGCGAACATAGATTTATTACACCTGTAAAATTTTGTAATGATACGTTAACAGTATATGAAGTCAATTTCATTTCCTGATCAATCTTCGGTCGCAGCAACAGGTTTTAGATCTTTTTAATTTATAGTAGGGGAGTCCCAGCGAGGATTTTGGGACTTACTTCAGCGTGGTAGAATAACATCATCGGAAACTTTACGCGATCCCTCCAGTTGCTACTATTAAAAAAACTGATGATTCAGACGCGACCAAAACTCTTGGCTCAGTTATGGTGGTATACTACACAAGGTGCGAGGTTGCTCCACTAATGTTTTTCTGTCGTGCTCGAGTTATCATTATCATCAGCCTATTAATGTCATCACTGCTGGGGCTAGCTAAGGCCTTCCCTATGGATGGAATAGGGAGATTGGGCCATGACCCACCACGCGGCCCAGTGCGGATTGGCAGGTGCTAACGACTGCAGATGCAGCCGGTACCAACGGCTTAACGTGCCTTCCGAAGCACGGAGGAATTCGAGATAGAGGATTTTTGGTCAGCCATCCAATGAACGACCACTGCGAAGTTGCTTATCTTCAACGATCGCAGCCGAACGCGCTAACCACCTGCGCCATCGAGCTCTTCGGGCTCGTGCTCGAGTAAATCCCAAAATACCCGTTTGGTCTCCCATACTACCAAACTGTACTATACCATATGTCTTGTTTTATACTTCACATAACTAGTATTTACCTAAAGCAATAGAATTCTTATTTATAATGCTTTATAAGGTATGTTAGGAGAACATTTTGAATTGTTTCTCGTTAGTTTAACAGGTTTTTTTAGATTGCGATTAAAGTCATTGTTTTTGTTATAAAGGTTTTTGCTATCAAACATGTTCAAGATTTCATTGCATTAATTTAAAACAAAACTGTTAACGTACCCGAGGATACCAAAACCTGTCCTCACGCTGGCTACATAGAACGATGCCTTTTCCGTCTCAGAGAAGCACGCACCGATGAACACAGCAATTTTCTTCCCATTTAGCTGATCGGGATTTAGACCTAAAATATACAAGACATATTAAATAACGAAATTAATCATCGACTGAACATTGAAAAAAAAATTATCTCGGCATCAACTTATTACAAATGTTGAGCAGGACTCGAACCCGCACCCTTCGCAATCCGGGCGAATGCACTGACCAATTATGCTACCGCGGCCCTGACGGCCGCGTCGAAATTCCTCTAGCCATTCATAATCTGCAAGGCAGCGCCATCTCTTCGCATTAAAGGTAACCCACAATTTCAAACGAATACCTTAACAAGTATTAAACATTTGAAAGAAGGAATAGCAATTGTATTAACAATTTCTATAGGTTTAAACATCTAGCAGTTATATGTTTAAAAATAAAAAAAAAAACTAAACTTTCTACGTTTTTCGTGCGTAATTGCTCTATAGCAGTTCTAACGTTTTCATGAATAAATAATTATTGTGAGAAATTAACAATGCTAGCTATTCATTTGTTCAACGATCACTTTCATTAATTACCAATTCAAATTGCTAAGTGCCCCTGAAGTAATTCAAGTACGGAAAAAATTAACTCCATGAAATGTGATAATTTCTAACGGTAAATAAACAATTAAAATTCATAAACGGGACATAACAAAGGAATTAAATATACAATGACCCTCGGACACCAGCAATGGCATGTAACCCGGAGTATTTTTTTCATGTTAATAGAGGATGTACGTGGGATACTCAGAAAGTTTTTAGAAACTAAAAAACTTGTTTGAAAGAAAAAAGAAATTATTAGACCTCTTCAAAGAACTACCCACCAGCCTCTATTCAAAGTTTCATGCGTCTGAACCAATTTAAAAATCCAATTTTCCAGTTCCAGCAGACACCTCTTCCACGGCCTTCTTAAACGCTGCTAGCGTTTCTTCCGGCGATGAAAACTGTATCCCTTTGAGCTATTTTTTTGTTTTAGGGAATACAAGGAAGTCACACGGAGCCAAATCAGGACTGTAAGGAGGGTGCCCCAAGACTCTGACTGGTGTGGAGTCCAGGAAGTCCTTCGTTTTGATCGCAGAGTGCGCGGGCGCGTTGTAGTGGTGAAGAAGGACCCGGCGGAGCCCGGTGTTAGGTCGTTTGTTGCTCATTGCAGAAAATAGCTTCTGGCAGGCATTTTGTGTCCATTCGGAGTTGATGCTGCTTTGGTCTCGAAGTGGAATTGAAATTAGGTACCCCATTAAAGTGCAGAAACTAGCGATCAAAATTTTCCCTGCGCTCCTCGATCACTTCACTTTCGTAGGCGTTGGTTCATTTTGAAACAGCCAAACTGACGCTTTGTTTCTGGATCGTATTGATAAATCCAGGATTTGTCACCTGTCACAATATCGTAGGCGCCATGAGGAGCCTGCATAATTTTTTTGTATCATATCATTGCACCAATCTACACGGGCCTGCTTCTGAGCTTCGGTGAGGTTGTGTGGCACCTAGCGGGAAACTATCCTCCTTACGCAAAGGTGCGCGTGCAAAATCTTGTGCTCACTTCCTGAACCAATCTGCAGAGTGTGCTAAATATTTTACTTTTTATTTTATGTACGTAATTCGTCTGTTTTCTTGTTTTTTTTTTACTGCCAGTTCACTCTCTTCACACACTTTCTTCGGTGACAGCCGTCGTAGGACAACCACTCCTTTGTTCATCCCCCAAAGTAAGACGACCGCGTTTAAATTCGCTGCACCAGCGGTAAATGGTTACTTTTGAAGGTCCTTCATCCATAAAAGCAGTTCGAAATCGATCAAATGACTTATCAAGTTTTAAGCCACATTTAAAATCGTAAAAAAAATCATACCACGAAAATGTTCTCGATGCAGATCCATTTTTTAATGAGACTATAATTTAATTGGCTCTCCGAAAAATGCGGAGGGAAATTTGAAAACCGAACAGTAGTATTTTTTCTTTTAAATAATCGAAGTTTTCAAAATTATTACAAGGGACCAGTGTCTTATGTACATAAAAACTTTTTTTGCACAACTTTCTAAGTGACCTGGCATATCGAAATTCGGCTTCTTTAATACAAAATACGTAATTCATCCTCGGAACCTTTTAACTAATAGGAGAAATAATAATGATAAAATATAGAACACAATTTTATTTTACATCGACGTTACTTTGATCCCGTTTATCGATACTTCAGACTGAACCTTTTATATTTTCTTCGTCTTTCATTAGTTTTGCTATTCCCAATGTTATTTATGATCAAACCAGTCAAATCAATCAATCATCTCATTTAAATATTATTTTTGTTATCTTTCCTTTAACTTATTGTACTAGACTTCGTCGCCAGACTTTCTTTCAAAAGCTAAATTTTCTGTAGTAAATTCATCCCATCACCAAAACATTACAGACTACTTTTTTACTACTTACATTCCTTTTACGATATTTAGGCTTTCCTCTGTTATTATCGGTCGATAAATATTTGATGCGTTTTTTTATATACGTTGACTTTTTCGATTGTGTTTTTTCTTATATGCATTAATTTAAAACGGGATATTGTTAATTGAATGTATTTCTTAAAATTCTTAATTAGAAGGCTTTTTCATTGACAGTTTACCAGCATTTGTTGCTTCTTTTCTATAACGCATGTGGTGTTCACCTATAATTACAATAACATTGAGCTTAAGCACTTTATCATTACCTGCTTGATTTTTGTGTCAATGTTTATTATGTTGGTGATCAAATCGTTACTTAAAATAAAATGGTAGGAAAGTCAATACTGTACAAAGAATATTTTTTTAAAATAATACTTGGATTGTGATCTACAACCGATAACGAAGCCAAAAATGTAGTTTTTAGAATTTTTGTCTGTTGGTCTGTATGTATGTTCGGGATAAACTCAAAAAGTACTGCATGGATTTACTTCAAACTTGACACGAATATTAATAAGAAGTCGGGTCAACATATAGGCTACATTTTGTCACGCTATCACCTACGGGGAACGAGCAGTGAACCTTTACTTCGAACTAACTCAACGCGTACGAAGACGCGGGCGGCCGCTAGTAAATAAATAAATACATTTGTTTGTAGTCGTAAGTCGTAATAGCGTCTATCTTTATACATATAATTCTTCTGTGAGTGTGTATGTCACTGAACTTCTCTTAAACGACTGGACCGATTTTGATGAAATTTTTTGTGTGTGTTCAAGGGGATCTGAGAATGGTTTAGATTCACAATATTGTCCGCTGGACAATGTTTTTTTAATTAATTTTTAATTTATTAGTAGTTGTTGATTTTGGAATGTTTTACATTGGATCCGACAGACGGCGCTACCATACTAGACAGGACAACGTCTGTCGGGTCCGCTAGTAGATTTATAAAGGTACTAGCTGACCCAGCGAACTACGTACCACCCTAAAAAAATAGGGGTTGTCCAGCGGACAAAATTGTGAATCTAAACCATTCTCAGATCCCCTTGAACACACACAAAAAATTTCATCAAAATCGGTCCAGTCGTTTAAGAGAAGTTCAGTGACATACACACTCACAGAAGAATTATATATATAAAGATTTAGATATTTGAGTAGAGATTATGTATGAGAACGGCTACGAAGTTTTTTTTTTACAGTAAATAGGCTTAAGTTTGACGGTCACGCGACTGATGAAGAGCGACGTAGCAGCCTAAGGTGGGACGCGCTTGCCTAGAAGAAACCGATTCACTCGCGACTTGAAGAGCCCCAGATTATAGGTGACTGGACACAGAGATACCGGCAAAGAGTTCCACAACCTAGCTGTTCTGACTATATAGGTGGAAGCAAACAGTTTAGTACGAGTTTGCGGGACCTCTACGGTATATCTGTGGCGTTTTGCTGTCGCTCTGGTGGTTCTGTTACACATTGCTGCGACAATAACCACGCAATAGAAGTACAATGAAGTAACGCATCCGATATTATCGACCACTAAAAACGCTACTATGGGCGGGAAGCTCTACCTCCAGACAATATCGTCTATGGAAATTTTAACGAAGACTTATCTATTCAAAGCGCTGTTTATAAAATGTTGGTCACTTGTATGCTAATACTTAACATAAAAACGAACAACATTTATGTATACATTATTGTATGCGTTAACCTGCTCGTATTTGACGAAATATTTTTTTATTTATTTAAACTTTATTGCCCCAAATTCCAAAAATGGACAAAAGGCGGAATTAACGCTTAAAGCTATCTCTGCCAGTTAACGCTAAAAGCATTCAATGCCTTTAGGCATAGAGAAATTCACGAATGCGGCTATATTAAAAAAAATGATTAACTATGAATATGCACCAATAAAAGTAACTACATAAATATTTATTTAAAAAAAAAACCCTAAATATACATGCATAGAATACATTTTATGTCTTTTATTTTTTAAGCATTTAACTGCTAAATGTTTAAATCTAAAAAAAAATATTACTTCACGCGGATCAGGCTGCTGCCTGCATTTTTGCTAGTATGCTTTTCTTTAGATTTTTTTTTTAAATTTTATATCATCATCATCATCAGCCTATTAATGTCCCCACTGCTAGGACACAGGCCTTCCCTATGAATGGAATAGGGAGATTGGGCCAGTGCGGATTAGTGCTAACGACTGCAGATGCAGCCGAGACCAACGGCTTAAAGTGCCTTGCGAAGCGAGATAGAAGATTTTTGGTCACCCATCCAATGACCGACCACTACGAAAGTTGCTTAAGTTCAACGATCGCAGTCAAACGCGCTAACCACCCATGCCATCGAGCTCCTCAAGTTACCAATCATAATTATTTAAAAACGTTACTTCAGAGGCCATACCGGGCCTTAGCTTTTTATAATCCAATTTTGCGCATTAAACCGCTCGATATATCAAAAATCATTTATTCAGTCTAGGCTGTTACAAGCACTTGTAAAGGTCGAGAAGCTACGCCATCGGTTCGCAAATTATGGCGGGAAACCTTGTACTGAGAACAATCGGCAAGAAACTCAGCAAGGGCTGTTTTTTTCTCCCTGTTTTTTTTATATACCTGCATCATAAAGCGCTTGGTAGGTCTGCTCCAGGATTTTTCTGGACATAGCGTCCATGCTGGTGCCAAGTCTGAAGTGGACCTTGAAGAATTGCGCATCGAAGCGGTCCAGCCCGGGAACAGTGCCCGTATACTGCGACACTTCCGGGTGGTTCGACCTCCATCTCTCGTTATCTTGTGTAACGGTATTGACCTGCAGAACAGGAGAATTTAGAAAGAAAGAGAAAGAAAGAAAAAGCTTTTATTGACCTTACACAATATTTGTTTCTTAGGTTTTCACGCACATCACTCATTAAATAAAACTAGTTTTTACGGGTTAATGCACAAAACTTTATTTATTTATTGACGTTTCGCAGCCTTTTCAGGTCTGCATCGTCAGAATAATGATTTTTTATTTAAAATTGTCAAGCTACCTTCGAAAGACTTATATTGAGCGTTCGGTTATTTCATTGGAAGATTTTTAAAATTTTATAGTCTATGTATGAATTTATTATTTAATTTACTTAATAAAGTATTTTATTTAAAATTCTTGTTTGTAATTTTGAGTTTATTTATTTGACCCTAACTACCGTAAACTACCACCGGTTCCAAAATTGGGAGACCTTCCTGAGAAGAACCGGCGAAACAAACTCAAGAGAGGCTTTCTATCTCCTTCTTATGTTAAATTATGCAAACAAAAAGAACTAATAGTATCTGATGGTCTTGCAGTGTGTGCTCGGGGTTGGGATTTTATCTCCTGTATAATAGGTTCCCAAGCTGGTGGTATATACCAACCATCTTCCCTATTGAAATTTGGATATTTTTTAATCTGAATAGCCTCGCGCATCATTCGAGGAACGAACCGCCGCACAGCTGCAAGGATCTGTGGTCTATCAAATCTAATGTAGTGGTTTGGTCCCCCTAATGCATGTTCACCTTACACAAGTATGTAGAAAAAAAAACAATAAACATAGCAACAAAAATAAAATAACAACAGTGAGCAACAATATGGAGAGAGAAAAGGCCAGTCAGGACGCTGCCTCAGCTTAATGCTGTCATAGTAGGAGTGGAATATTCCCACCATAACAGCGCTTAGACCAATTTAGATTCACGACACCTAAATTCAAACGAACTTGAGGTGCAAACGCGCCTTGATTCAATACATTTTAGGACAAATTATTTTGGACTAGGATATACTAGTTAATCCTATCGCGTATAGGAAGAACTAGTTCAAACTAGTTTTTCCTGAAATCGGCTTTGGCCGGTAACATATATATGAGAGTAAAAAAATATGGGTAACTCTTTGGAAAAGCGTTCTCCACGCAACTTTCGTGGTGTTTCGTATTGAGTTTTACGAAAATATGATGATTCTTACAATGTAGAAGACGTTATAATTAGAATGTTTTTTCTATGAACAATGTAAATTGGTTTAAAATTTACCGAGAAATTTAATTTTGAATTTTTGCTGTCTATAAAAATAAGAACAAATTTCAGCTAAAATCTTCTTCTGCTAGTCCTATAATGCGTCAAATACTAAAAACTAGTGCCAACTCTGGTTTTGCACGGTTGAATAAAAGTTTGAACACTTTACAGTGATATTCATATATATGTATTATGTCATGATAAATCTGTCTGTCGATGTATCATGATCATGTATTTTAATGTTACGCTTAACTTTCAGTTAATTAAAAAACCTTTTTGTTTTTCATTTTGTCAGTTTCAGTAGTTGGGGAAAGCGACAATTTACTACACTTTTCCTTTAAACTTTTATTGCATTAGTCACAATATTTTTCGTTTATCTGCAGCATGTCAAATTACATTTTTAATAAGCTTGATGACGCAAGTAGTTAGCGCGTTCGGCTGCGATCGTAGAAGTTAAGCAACTTTCGCAGTGGTCGGTCATTGGATGGGTGACCAAAAATTACTACCTCGAGCTCCTCCGTGCTTCGGAAGGCACTTTGAGCCGTTGGTCCCGGCTGCATCTGCAGTCGTTAGCACCCACCAATCCGCACTGGGCCCGCGTGGTGGGTCATGACCCAATCTCCCTATTCCATCCATAGGGAAGGCCTGAACCCCAGCAGTGGGGACATTAATAGGCTGATGATGATGATGATGATGATGATGACGCAAGTGGTTAGCGCGTTCGGCTGATATCGTTGGAGCAAATTGGTATGTGCTAACGACTGCAGATGCAGTAGGGAGCAACGGCTTCACGTGCCTTCCAAAGCACGGAGGAGCTCGAGATAGTAAATTTTCGGTCACCCATCCAATGACCGACCACTGCGAAAGTTGCTTAGCTTCAACGATCGCAGCCGAACGCGCTAACCACTTGCGCCATTGAGCTCCTCTATGATGACTCAATGGTTCTGCTTTAAAATCTCCTCAAAAGGCTCCGCGCCAGTATAACTATCCATCTTTTAAGTTTGACACCCTATACCAATTTTCATCAAATGAACGCAGGTGAACCCGCATGGGACCTCTAATAATTATAACTAGCAAACCAGTGAACCAAATGTTCACCAAAACCTAATTAAAAAAAAAAAATTAATTAATTGAGAACTTCGGAGATTTTGTGTGAAATTCGTGATTTCTCGAAAACCGAAAGTGCTACGTTACTTAAATGCGGTTTGTAGTCTTATCAGACTATTCTTAACTTATAACTTAAACATTCTCTTTATCTATCTCTTACGATTTAGCCGCTGAAACAGCACCACAGACAGACGGACGGACTTGTCTAATAGATATGAGATTATAAACATCAAGATTTACCTTGTTATATAGATTGTCACTGAACTCTTTCACGTGGTGCGACATCGGATAAAGGCCCGATATTCCAGAGATGACCACAGCATCGCCATCTGTCTTACCACCCATAGCTATGGGCTTGCCAACAGTTTCTTCTGGCCTGGGTGTCATCTTCTATAGATGTTTACGTCCGCTGCGATGCACTGACAAAACTGTAGTGTCGTTGTTACTAAAAACTATTGTCCCTTAATAAGAATGCGATTCTCGCCTATTTCCTGTCCCGTTTCTATAAAAAGTTTATTTATTTATCAAAAACAGTATGTAAGTAAGTGGCTAGTATTTAATTATGGTGATCGTATGAAAATTAATTCTAGAGTTCCGACGCGACGTAAAACTGATTTGAGACTCGATTAGGTTTTTTTTTGTGCTGTCGGTAGGCAGGTACAGTACCCCTAGCACGAACCATTATCGAATTCGTATGGTTTGCGAGTGCGAAATGTCAATGTCAAATTTGGTATGGTAACAAGTTACCATCATCAGCCTATTAATATCTCCACTGCTGAGGCACAGGCCTTCCCTATGAATGGAATAGGGAGATTGGGCCATGACCCTCTACGCGGGCCCAGTGCGGTTTGGCGAGTGCTAACGACTGCAGATGCAGCCGGGACCAACGGCTTAACGTGCCTTCTGCAGCACGGAGGAACTCGAGATAGAAGATTTTTGGCCACCCATCCAATGAACAACCACCGCGAAAGTTGCTTAGCTTCAACGATCGCAGCCGAAAGATCTAACCACCCGCGCCATCAAGCTCGTCCATTTAACTCGAACTTTTATAACATACCCAATTCAAACTGTGTTTTACTAAATGATTCATATACGCGGAAATATAAAATTCAAATAATTAAGAATGATATCAAGAATATTGTTCATGTCTAATACGGAACCCTCATTTTACGCATGCTGAAAGTATTTTGAACTAACGTCAAGTAGCATTGAAAGAATAAGTGTATTAACCCTGGAATTTATTCATTATAGTTTTCTAAACAACTATGTAAGTTAGTGCAAGGTTCCGGAGTTCGAACACAATTGTCTGTTTAGATATATTTATATAATACTGACGTCGAATTTAAATATTTATTTTTATTTATTTATTTAATTATACAAATACAATCATACACATACATATTTCAAAAACCATACACGAAAACCTGTTAAGGTTTATGTGTTTATGGGAGTCACTCATTTACCACCTTATACACTTTTGTAATGGAGATTTTGGGTGGCGTGTGATAGTATGAAAATAATTTAATAAATATGTATTTATAATACAACGCAACATTGAATGCCACGAAAGTAGGCCACATGAAATGCTGATGTTTTGTAATAATATTGTGTGTTATATTTTATAAGTGTGTGTGTGTAACTACGTAGTGCACTAATATTAAAAATAAGTATGTTTTGTACCATTAAGCCTTCTTCAATAAATGGACACCAACCTATCTACGTGTTTGTATTTATTATAACCTGCCACCATCACCCAACATACCACACTTTCAAGTTGACTATTTTGTAAGTAATATCTTTGAAATTTATACTTATTGATTACATTGTTCGACTAAATTTCCTGTAGATTACTAGGCAATTCTAAAACTCTCTATTGACGTGACAACGTCTTAAATTAGGTTGCGGCTGGGAGTCACTTATGAAAAAGTGTAACGCTCGGTAACGTTACGATGAGTCTCTCGTGTTAAGTTTAAGTTTACATGTACAATGTTTTAGTAAACAAAATATATTTCTATAGTTAAAATTTGTGCAATTCTTATTTTCATTCAATTCCTTGTTCCTATTGTGCAATTTAATTATATTCATATCAATAAATATTCTACCGAGAAAAAGACGTTGTCACGTAAAATCTTCGCCCGTAAAACCGACTTTACAGGCAACCATTTTTTTTTTCCAACACATTTCTCAGATCATCTGGTCTCTTATTAATATACAAGTACTTAGTCTCGTTACATTCGGTTAGAATTACGTATTTTACCTTGTCATAAACATTCATCACGTTACAATATCGAAATAATTCTTGTGCGTTACCTTTATGTTTAACTTTTATATATTTATATATATGGTTTATATGGTGTATACATGGTAACTTTTATATATAAGGTTTATGGTTTTTGAGGAGCTCCATGGCGCCAGAGGTAAGCGCGTTCGGCTGCGCTCGTTGAAGTTAAGCAAATTTCGCACTGGTCGGTCATTGGATGAGTGACCAAAAATCTTCTATCTCGTGTTATTCCGTTCTTCGGAAGGCACGTTAAGCCGTTGGCCCCGGCGCATCTGCAGTCGTTAGCACCCGCCAAACCGCACTGGGCCCGCGTGGTGGGTGATTGCCCAATTTGAATAGGGAGTATTCTATCCATAGGGAAAGCCTGTGCCCCAGCAGTGGGGACATTAAAAGGCTGATGGTGATGATGAAATACGGTTTTATACAGATGTACTGTTGTATAATTAGAGCGTATTAAAACACGAACGTGGGTCCGGATAATAGTATCACATGAGCGTTTTAATACCTAATTATGAATAGTTGAATACAAGACTGAATATACACCCATGATATGAATCCTCTATAAAAGATTAGGTAGGATATAGGATATAGGATTAGGTAGACGAGTTCTGGAGTGGAGACCGCGTCTAGGCAAACGTAGTGTAGGACGTCCTCAGGCGCGATGGAGTGACGATTTGCGCAAGGTGGCTGGCAGGAGCTGGATGCGAGTAGCCCAAGATCGATCTGAGTGGCGTGCATTTGGAGAGGCCTATGTCCAGCAGTTTACTATGATAGGCTGTTGATGATGATGATGATGATGATGATGATAAAAGATTCTGAAATCATGGGGCGTTCTTAGAACTTAACATAAAAGAAGAAGAAGAGGAAGCCCACTCGCCGCAACCTGTGTGGTGCTGCCCCGATCGGACCGAACCATCTGTTGCGTCCCGCCATACCAACGACGCCCCTATACGTGTCCTGGCTACTTTACTCTACTAAGGTGTGGAATCTGGCATGGTTCTCTAGTTCAGTTCCACCAAAACCTGCTTAAAACCAAAGTTCAGGACTTTGGTTTTGCAGCGGTGTATCCTTTCTCTATACAGAGTGAAGGGGGGGCACTGATGTTGGGTTTGCTTTTGGGTTTGGAGAGTAGTGGCAGAGTCGACACTAGTGTTTCGGTAATCACATGCATGTGTCCTACAGTTGTGTTTATAGTTTTTTATAGTAATGTACAGTGGTGCTTAATTTTTTTTCCCCTATTTTGCTATCTAGTATCCATATGTGGTTATGAGTAGTCATGCTCTCTCAAAAATCTCTTCGGCGGTGTCATGTGAGGCGGGTCGTTACGTTCCCTAAAAAATGGTTGAGCGAAGCGATGGCTGGTTCATGCGTCATGCTCGTGAACGGGTGCTGCCAGCGGAGATGAGTCTGCTCTTGCTACATTGGGTACTATTAATCGTTGTATTTAACTTTAATGGTACATTTGTTTTTATGCCTAAACAGTAGGACACGGCATTCCTAAACTTTTTTTATTTTTAAATCTGTTTTTTATATTTTTTATTTTATAGTCATATCATATCATTTACATTTGTAATGGAAAGTGACTTCATGAGTTATCTCATATTGAAGTCATTTTTCAAATTGACGATTCTGTATATAATACAGGGCGAAAAAAACAGCCCTTGCTGAGTTTCTTGCCGGTTCTTCTCAGTACAAGGTCTCCCGCCGTAGATTTGCGAACCGATGGCGTAGCTTTTCGACATTCACAAGTGCTTGTAACAGCCTAGACTGAATAAACGATATTGAATTTTGAATTGCATTTTTTTTTTGAAGGTAGAGGAGATCGTAGAGTATCTGCGGATCACGAAGTTCTCCCTGAGAGTCGCACGGTTGGAATCTCGCCATAATATTAATTTTAATTCATTCGTGGTGAGAGTACCAACTGAACACCTAGCGAACTTTATGAAAGAAGAGCTTTGGCCGAAAGGTGTTGTGTTCCGGCGGTTCCGAGGCCGGATACCGGATACCATTCTGCGTCACACGTCGCCGTCAATACGTGTTCAATAAGTTTTTAACTATGTTTGTATATCTGTATTATATGCTAGACTTTAAGGTAAGTATGTATCTATGGGCCTACGTTGTCTGTCTGTAAATCTATACTTATAATAAATCTGTAGAGAGGTCAATTCTGTACATGAAATATATTTTCAAAATAACTATCAGGGGGTGATTAGTGATCGATACTGATGCCAAAAATGCAATCAGTAAAATTTTTGTCTGTCTGTCTGTCTGTCTGTCTGTGTGTATGTTCCTTATAGAAACAAAAACTACTCGATGGATTTTAACGAAACTTGGTACAATTATTCTTCATATTCCTGGGCAGGTTATAGTATACTTTTCATCACGCTACAATCAGTAGCAGCAGAGTAGTGAAGGGAAATGTTGGGAAAACGGGAGAAGTTACTCCATTTTTTAAGCTTCCGTCGCGTGTGCAGCCTTAATGGTTAAAGTTACATACAAATCATGTATAACGGAAATATTCTACATAAAATTGTCTAAAAAATATCCCGCAACAGCATATGTCTATCTTTTATGGTTGACTCACAATAACACGTGTAATTATATAAATAAAGTCATTGTTTATAGCACAAGCCTGAGAACAAAACTATAGTTTACACTGCAGCTCTACACCGAAGCGAAGCGAGGGCGGGCCACTAGTTAATAAATAAAAATTAATAAATAAAATTCATGAAAAGATTCGGCGTTGCGGTAGTGAAGCGCTCGTGAATACAATGTTCTTATTTTGAAATTCGTAACACCACGCATCGAGGAGTGAAAATTGTGGCTGTCTGATGAGCAAGCTCTTGGCGCCTAAGGATTTATAAAGCGAATGAGTGTAAAACAGGGGTTTCAAAGTTTACCAGGTTTACCATATAGGCACACACTAATGGGTAATTAAAATATTAGGTATTCGTATTTGCCTTCTATAAATTGATTGCAAATTTTATTGATTAATTACATACGTATTTTTAATCGATGAGGAAATAATGTATATTAATGCAGAACAAGTGCATTAACTTCTGCATTATACATAATTACTCGTCACAATGTTGAACCCGACCTTTTACGCAATTGAGATTCTCAAATAGGGGCCTAAAAATGCGGCGAAATGGTTCCAGTAAAGGATGGTACGGCTGTGTTTGCTTCGCGCTCGACTTGGCGGGGACACTGC